GTGGTTTAACTTCAGCTTCAGTGAAAAGTAAAGTAGATCATGAAGCAGAGGGGGAAATATGAAATGAGTTTCTCTTCCTTTAGTCCTGCTTTAATCCCAGTTTAATCTCGGTTCAGCCCTGGTTTAGTTGTGGTCCAGCCCTGTCTTGGTTTAATGTTGGTTTAGTTCTGGTTTAGTACATAGACATGTATCTCTATGGCTGAATGTTCAACAGTTACTATATTGACAAACTTGCTAAATGTAATTTCACTGTTTGAACATCATTTAGTATAGTCCTGGTTTAGACCTTGTATAGGTCTGTTTTAGTCTTGTTTTAGTTCTGGTCTAATGCCAATTCTTAGTCCTGGTTCAGTACCTATCCATATGCGAGCACAGTGGCGTTGCAGTCCTGATTCAGTCCTAGTGTAGCCCTGGTCTAATTCTGGTTTAGTCCCAGTACCTGTCCGTATGCGAGCACAGTGGCGTTGTACCCCTGCAGACATCCCTCCACCAGCTTGTGTGTGGCGCTGTGGTACACCTGCTCCTGTGTGGCGTCCATGTCGAACACAAGGTCAAAGGTGAAGGCACGGTCCGAGCCTAACACCACCTGTGGTTCAGACGGTGTCACTGCAGTGCACACGTGGCAGCCCTCCACACGCTCCCGGGGCAGCTGGGGGCGGATCCTAAGAGAGGGAGAAGTCAGAGTTCGTCAGATCCCCTCCCCATGGGGTCTTATTCAGTGTAAAAGCTGCTAACCCTGTAATAATCATGTTCTACGTTTAAGCAAAAATAATGTATAGGCTAGAATATAAAGACAGTTTTGTTATGAGCATCTGGCGACATCTTGTGGTCAGAATGAGAACTACACTGACAACAACTTTTCTCCCCAAACTGCCATTGAGCTGATGTACAACTATGATAAATATTTACCACATGAAGTATCCCACCAAACCAAGACAGAATTAGAAAACTATATTAATCTGTAAAATGTAATTTAAAGTTGGAGGTCACAGAGAGACACAGGGAAAACATGCACCACACACTCCACACTTCACACTTGAAGCGTACACAGGTGGGATGGTTTAAAGGTGGACAGCGTAACATTTCTAATGGAGGGTCTGCCACTTGCTTGTCTCCATGGAAGTGTTATTGGTTTCTGTAGAATGTTCCACAGTATAGATTAAACCTTATAGCACTACACTACATTACAATACAGATCTCTGGAGAGTTGCCCCATTCACACAAGGAATGATTGTATTTTTGAGCAATGCTATATGATATATGAGATGTTTAATGTCATACTATGGAACATTCCAGGCAAAGCAATAACATCTCCATGGAGACAAGTACCAACACCGATATTTTGTTCTGCATTACAGTTTGCTCTCAGCATCAGATTTGCCTTTTTGAAAAGAGTCATGAGGAACTATGTAAATACAAGAGACGTTTGGGGTGGCAGTTCGTAGAGCATTCGCCCACTGATCTAAAGGTTGGCGGTTCGAATCCAGCTCTCAACATAAACATCACAGGTTGAGCGGTCAAATCTACTAACCCACAGGTTGACTGGTGTGATTCCAGCTCCCACAGATGAATGCTGTCGTCGTGTCCTTGGGCAAGACACTTAACCCACCTTGCCCACAGTGTCTGTGTACACTGGTGTGTGTGAATGGGTGAATGGTTCCTTGTTGTTGTAAAGTGCTTTGAGTGCCTTGAAGGTGGAAAAGCGCTATAGAAAAATGTGACCATTTACCATTAGGCAAAAGATACAGCTGCATATTTACACAGTCATATAACTAACTCTTTTAGGCCAGATAAATACACATTTTTACAACTTCATTATTATTAGCTTAATACATATTTGATCGATAATTCGTCACAACAGCAACACAAATATCGGATATTAGTAATGGTTCAAAATAAGTAAATCTATAATCGGACCATAAAACCCAAGACCTGCAACGCTGTGAGGCTTAAATGCTAAACACTCTGCCGCTATACTGCAAATGTGGAAGAGAGAGAAGGATAGAAAATAAGGGAGGGGGGGAGAGACAGAGAGAGAGACAGAGAGAGAGAGAGAGAGACAGAGAGAGAGAGAGAGTGAGAGTGAGAGCGAGAGCGAGAGTTGATGTGGTCTAAATAAATCTGCTGAACTGAATCTGGATTAAGAGTGAAAGTGTGTCAGTGGAACAAGTGAGTGAATTTAGAATGACAAACTGTCAATGAGAGAAACAAGGAGCAGAGGAAAGGGTCAGAGGAGCAGAGGATGAGCAAAGGATGCAGTGGAGAGGAGCAGAGGAGAGGATTAGATGGAGCAGAGGATGCAGTGGAGAGGAGCAAAGGGTGCAGAAGAGGAGCAGATGTGGAGTTTCTTTGTTGAGCTGGACAAAAGCGTGTACAGGAGCAGACAGTGTTCCTCTGTGTGAGAGACGAACCAATCGAATCATGTCCTGTTGTTTTATTCATTCAGTAGTTCCTCTCAGATCTCTCGGTTTATACTCCATCTATTTTGGATTATGTGAAATTAAGATTTTAAACTTTCACATAGAGCAGGTGAAAACCAGTCAAAAACTGAGTACTTTTGAATCAATCAATTCCCGTTTTCATCTCCACTAGTACAGCAATATCAGTTTCTTTTATTAAGTTGTTTTATGATCTACAGCTGTTGATTACAAACCATTTCAAAGCTTTTACATACACCCATCTGTGGATTATACAGTGGTATACAAAATGGTTTCCATGGAGTTGAGGGATGGAGCAGAGACAGAGAGGTTTAATCTGATTTGAGTCTGAGAGACAAGACGGCAACTTCATCTTACCAAATACACCAGGACTAAAACAGCACTGAACTAGGACTAAAGCAGGACTGAAGCAGGATTAAAGCAGGACTGAACCAGGACTAAACCAGCAATAAATCAGGACTTAACCATGTCTGACCCAGGTCTAAACCAGGACTTCAGGTCTTGTTACAGGTGTTTCTGTAACAGTTAAGTCCAGTCCAGTATCTAAAAGAGTCTGGGCTAAATCTGGACCAGTTTTAAATAGTAACTGGTTTTAAATAAGTGCTCTACATTCAGAGACACACAGAGCTCAGACCAGGACTAGACCAGGTCCAGGGGAGGGCATCTGACACACACAAAGGGGAAAAGGATGATGGGAAAGCATCGAACACACAGGGATATAAAAGGATGGGAGGGCATCTTACATAAAGGATATAAGTGGATGAGAGGGTATCTGACACAGAAAGCTGACTCAAGGAATATGTTATTTTTAGAGTGTAGTAATAGCCACCATTTTGGTTCCCTGGCTCCTCTTTGACCTTTGACCTCTGACACTCTGTAATTTAACACAACCTCAGAGTACAAGTACACACTACTGTAGGAGTACAGTAGTAGTACTCTGGCCATCTTCTCTGTCAGTATACATAAACTAAAGTTTTTTTTGTTTGTTTTTTTCCACAACAACTTCAGAAAGTTGTGTCATTATTCAAGCCCAAAGATGGGCTTGAATAATGGCAACTAATTTCCACTGGTGTCAGTTGAAAGGACTTTAAGACTTTAAGATTAATATGAAACGTTTGTGGAACCAGTCCAAAAGAAATTTGTTGATCATAAATTTGAAGATTTATTTCAAAAACAAACTGATTTTCCCATTGAGTTATATAGACTCATGCCCTCCATCTGAAATTATGACATTGTCACATTAAAACATGGACTAAACCTGGATTATATGATTAAACCTGACTCAATCTTGTTAAACCTTGACCATGTTTTAAGATCAATAAAACCAGAGTCTTTTCATTTCATAAGGACCAATCCTTGCCAAACCAGGACTAAACCAGGACTGAACCAGGACCGATCCAAGATTAAACTATGGACTAAAAAACTCCGGTGATCTCTTAAAAGTTCCTTTTGTAATTCCAATCTGTTATGAAACTAAAAAGTCCCTGTGTGTCAGATGCCCTCCCTGTTCCTCCATGAGGTCATATTCTGTGTAACTCTTTATTCTGTAGTTAAGACAAACATGTTCTTAAAGTTCAAGTATTTCTCTAAAACTCTTGCTACTCTTTGATTATTTCTGCTGTGTGGCACATTTTGACTATAGATTTCTGAACCACGAGTTGTTTTTGTACATTTCTGTTTAGAGTAATCCTCTGAATGCTTAAATCTGCATTTTAAAGAAGGATTAAATGAGCTATTCTAAACAGAAAAATCACTGAAATCTGAACTTTAAACTAATCCAAGAATGCATACATTTCAGAACACAGAATGAGACACCATGGAGACACAGCAAGGACATCTGACACACAGTGAGGGCATCTGACATCTAGTTCTCACAGAACATAAATCTAAATATTTGCAGAATTAATGAGTTGTGATTTGCCATTGCATAAAACATATGCTCTTTGTGTTTGCCTCTGCCATTTTAGTCAGTTAAGGTTTAATTTATTTATTTGTGTTCTCTTTAAATGTTTTATATATTATAAAATGTTTTTTCTAATGTTTTCATTGCATTTATCTTTTTTATGGTCTTTTTAGAGGCAGGTGCAGCAGAGGGCCCTGGCGGCACTCCAGGATGACATCATCACCACGAGACACAGAGAGACGCAGCAAAAAGTGACTGACGACGATCAATGTGAAAATACTGAGAAGACAGGATCAAGATAATCCAGTCTCAATCAGGGCTGGACCAGGGCTAAATTAGGACTAGACCAGGACAAAACCAGGACTAAAACATAACTGAACCAGGACTAAACCAGGACTAAAAAGAACTAAAAGGAGGCAGAAGTCAAGACTAAAAATTCAAAACCGAACCAGGACTAAGACAGAAATAAACCAAGTCTTAACTTGGTCTAAACAAGTCCTGAAAGACTGGATTCTTGCAGTGGTTTCACAAACAGAAACTTATCATTAAAATTCAAAAATAGGTTTGTGGAATTTTTTTTCAGTGATAGGAGCAAAACAAACAAATATGTAATTAAACAGAAATCTGAGTTATGGACTACTCTAAACCTAGACTAGGGACTAGACAAGGACTAAACTGAGATTACAACTAAACAAGGAACTGTACTAGAAACTGAATCCAGACTAAAACAGGACATGATGAGGGCTACATTTGGACTAAACTGGTACAAAACCACATTAGGATTTTTACCTGGGTCTAATCCAGGACTAAAGCAGAACTAAAGGATTTAACAAGATGCACACAGCATGAAAACCACCAGTTTAATTTGTTTACTGTGCTCCATCTTGTTATGACAATCTGTCTCTTCTCCTCTATCACTCCCTCTCTCACCCATCTCCTCCATCCTTTGCACACGGGGATGAGTATGGAAAGGCCTCTGACTCTTTTCTCCCACAGACTGTGATGAGTATGGGAGGGCATCTGACTCTTCCTCTGGCTCAGGGAAGATATACACAGTGGGAACCAGGAGAGTATAGGAGGGCATCTGACACACAGAGAGGGCATCTGATGCTTTTCTCCTGCAGACTGGCTCGGGGAAGACATACACGATGGGCACCGGGTTCGAGGTTGGCGTTTCAGGCGAGGAGGTGGGCATTATTCCACGTGCCGTCCGCCATCTTTTCACCGCCATCGAAGAACGAAAACGAACCGCCACCGAACAAGGATTAACCCCCCCAGAGTTCAAGATCAATGCACAGTTTTTAGAGGTACAAAACCAGGACTAAACCAGGACCGAACCAGGACTGAATCAGGTCTAAACAGGACTGAATCAGGTCTAAACCAGGACTGAATCAGGTCTAAACCAGGACTAAAGCAGGACTAAAGCAGGGCCTAACCAAGAATCACCTAGGACTGAACCAGGACTAGAACAAGACTAGACCAAGACTGAACCAGGAAGAAACCAGGACTGAGCCAGGACTGAATCAGGATTGAACCAGGACTGAAACAGGTCTTAACCAGGACTAAAGCAGGACTGAAACAAGAATCACCCAGGACAGAATCAGGACCGAACCAGGACTAAACTAGGACTAAACCAGGATAAAACCTGGATAAACCCAGGACTAAACCAGGTCTCTTGTATATATTCTCACAGTTGTACAATGAGGAGGTTTTGGATTTGTTCGACTCGACTCGAGATATGAAACAAAAATCTCAAATCAAAATCCACGAAGACCCGAATGGAGGAATCTACACTGTGGGAGTGACCACGCGGCAAGTCCAGTCAGAGTCCGAGGTCTGGACCTGCTTCTCTCTGCTCTCTCTGCTCCTCTCTGCTCCTGTCTGTTCTGGCTCTGCTCCTCTGACGTGCTCCTGTCTGCTCCCCTGCCTCTGCTCCTGTCTGTTCTGGCTCTGCTCCTCTGACGTGCTCCTGTCTGCTCCCCTGCCTCTGCTCCTGTCTGTTCTGGCTCTGCTCCTCTGACGTGCTCCTGTCTGCTCCCCTGCCTCTGCTCCTGTCTGGTCCTTTGCCTCTGCTCCTGTCTGGTCCTCTGCCTCTGCTCCTATCTTCTCCTGTGGCTCTGTTTCGGTATTATTTCATTATATTTTGACATATATTTTACAGATGATCCAGTGTCTGAAGTTGGGGGCTCTCTCGAGGACCACAGCTAGCACACAGATGAACGTTCAAAGCTCCAGATCTCACGCCATCTTCACCATTCACGTGTGCCAAGTGCGAGTCTGCACCAACAACAACGTAAGCAAGAATCATTGTATTTCCTTTCCTTTTATTTTGTTGGTGTATAAAACCACAATAGATACAGGAGGATGGGAGGGCGTCTGATATACACCTGTGTATCTTTTGAATACTTCAGAAGTAGCTTGCTCACTCTGAGTAGTAGTAGTAGTAGCAGCAGTAGCAGTAGCAGTAGCAGTAGCAGTAGCAGTAGCAGTAGCAGTAGTAGCAGTAGTAGTAGCAGCAGTAGTAGCAGTAGTAGTAGTAGCAGCCGTAGTAGTAGTAGCCATAGTAGTAGTAGTATTAGTAATAGTATTATTTATCTGATTTTATATATACCAGGAGGAACAGGATAACCGTGTGTCTCAGTCGGAGGTGGACGAGTATGAGACTCTCACAGCAAAGTTCCATTTTGTGGATTTGGCCGGATCTGAAAGACTGAAGAGAACCGGAGCAACTGGAGAGAGAGCCAGAGAGGGAATCTCTATCAACTGCGGACTGGTATTGGACCAGGACTGAACCAGAAATAACCCAGGACTAAATTTGGACTAGATCAGGGCTGGACCAGGACTGGACCAGGACTGAACAAGGACTGAATCAGGACTGAACCGGGACTAAACCAGGTCTAAATTAATTTTTTTGTATTTCTTTTTCGCTCACAGTTGGCTCTGGGGAACGTGATCAGCGCTTTGGGAGATCGGACAAAACGGTCGTGTCATGTCCCGTATCGAGACTCCAAACTCACACGTCTCCTGCAGGACTCTCTGGGAGGAAACAGGTACTGCTCTGTTCCTGGTTTATTCCTGGTTTAGTCCTGGTTTAGTCCTAGTTTAGCCCTAGTTTGATTCGGTTCAGTCCTGGTTTATAGGTTTTTTTCTGTTTCTCAGTCAGACAGTGATGATCGCCTGCATCAGCCCCTCAGACAGTGACTTCATGGAGACACTGAACACACTGAAATACGCCAACAGAACACGGAACATACGGAACCGCGTGATGGTGAACCAGGACCGGGCTAGTCAGCAGATCAGCGCACTTCGGACCGAGATCGCACGGCTGCAGAGGGAGATACTGGAGTACAGGACGGTAAGTACAGACAGAACCACAGCAGAACCCGCACTAGAAAATGACATACCCTTATCATAGAGCTAAGGTTCCAAGAACTGCACAGGGAGATACCGCAGGCTGTAGAATAGAGGTGGACTATTCGGTTCCAGCCAAATGAGGCTGGTAGTTATAATGGCTAATCTACAACAAGGGACCACAATTGGAAATATGAGATTGAGTATCATAGGAACCAAAGAACCAATCCAGACTGGTGTTAAAATTAACACCCCTTCCCATCTGCACCATTGGATGATTGAGACGGAAGCATGCCCATGCTCACTTCCTATTTAGAATGCTTTGAACAGGAGGTTAGCTATGTCCAGAGATACCATCTATGGTACAGAAAGAACCACACCTTAACCCAGTACTAAAACATGACGGATCATAGAGCTTGAGTCACAAGAACTGCAGAGGACTGGAGTACAGCAGTTTTGGCATTTTTGTGCGGAGTTTGTATGTTCTTCCTGTTTCTGAGTGGGTTTCCTCCGAACACTCCAGTTTCCCCCCGTTCAACCCAAAACATGCACAATAGCTAAGGCAGTCCTGACCAAGACTAGCTCAAGATCTGGAGATGGGTCCCACTGCTCCTGAAAGGTTAACCCAGAGACACTGAAGGATGCGTTAAATGCAGAGGACACATTTCTGTGTGGGGAAAATAAAGTGTACCTTAACCGTAAACTTAGTATAAAAGTTTTTTATTGTTATGTCTGTACACAGGGAAAGCGTGTCCCCGGGGAGGATGGCGTGGACTGCTTCAGTGACATGTTTCATGAAAATTCAATGCTTCAGACAGAGAACAGTAACCTGAGGGTCAGAGTGAAAGCCATGCAAGAGACTATAGACGCACAGAGGAGCAGGCTGACCAATCTGATCAGCCAACAGGCCCTGATAAAGACAGGTACAGACTTAATACACTACAGCATATATATGCAGGAGACCATAGATGACAGAAGACAGATGATTTTAGAGGTCTACAATTATTAAAAATGTATGGATATTGTCACTCACATATTGAATCATGAGAAAACTGTATTCTATATTATTATATCCCTAGCTTTGACACAAATAGAGCATGTTCATTCTAACATGGAATATCTAAGTCATAAAAAATCTGATAAAATATAGACAAGATGGCCCTCCTTGAACCAGTAACCCTCCCCTCTGCCCCTCACCTGTCTCACCTGTCCTTGCTGTAGGAGACGAGGGCTCAGAGGAGATTGGGACCATGATCCAGGGATACATCAAGGAGATCGAAGACCTGAGGTAAAACTGGTTTAGTCCTGGTTTAGTCCTGGTTTAGCCCTGGTTTAGTCCTGGTTATTTCCTGTTTCAGTCTTTTTTAGTCTTGGTTTAGTTGTAGTTTATTCCTAATTTAGACCTATTGGAGTCCTGGTTGAGTCCAGGTCTAACTCTGGTTTACCCTGGTTTAGTCTTTGTTAAGTCTTTGTTTAGTCTTCATTTAGTCTTCATTCAGCCCTGGTTCAGTTATGGTTTAGTCCTTGTTTAGTCCTGGTTTAGTCCTAGTTCAGTCCTGGTTTTGTCCCACTTTTTTGTCTGCAGGGCAAAGCTTCTGGAGAGTGAGGCAGTGAATGAGACTCTTCGTAAAAGTGTGAATCGATCCTCCAGTCGACCGTTTTATTCTGGTCCAGAAAAAGAGACTGACGACATCATTGAGCTTGCTAAAAAAGACCTGGAAAAACTCAAAAGGAGAGAGCGCAAAAAGAAGAAGAGGTAACATATCATGGGAGGGCATCTAACACATAGGGAGGGCATCTAACACATAGGGAGGGCATCTTACGCACCATGGAAGGAGGGGAGGTTATTTGACACACAGGGAGGGTGTCTGACAGACTACAGGAACACAGGAGGGCATCTGACACACAGGGACTGTGAGAAATGTGCACCATGGCAGGGCATCTGACTTAATCTGGCACACAAGGAAGGCATCTGATACACTAGAAGAGGACCAGAGGGCATCTGACACACTACAGGGACTTGCTCGTTTCCCTGTCTCCTTGTCTCTTCTCTTGTCTCCTTGCTCCCTTCCTTGTCTTCTTGTCTCCTCTCTTGTCTCATTGCTCCCTTCTCTGTCTCCTTCCCTCCTCTCACATGTCCTTGCTCCCTTCCTTATCACCTTGCCTCTTCCCTCATGTTCTTGCTCCCTTCCTTGTCTCCTTGCCTCCTCTCTCATGTCCTTGCTTTCTTTAGGCTGCAACTCTTATCAGAGGACAGAGACACAGAGGAGAAGGAGGAGGACTCCAGGTTTGTCTTCATCAAAAACAACTTTATTTAAACAAACTTTATTTTAACAAACTTTATTTTTCATTTTCATTTAAGTAACTTAATTTATGTCTCTTATTCACCTTTTCTGTGGGTTCATGATTCTTCCCTTTTCAGTTATTTGCATGCTTTGATCTTTTTGAGGTGTAGTAGTAGTAAAAGTAGTAGTAGTAGTAGTAGCATCATCATCATTATCATAAATAGTAGTAATATTAATAGTAGTAGATTTGCCTCCCTCTCATCTCTGAGGTGCTGCTTGCTTCATTTTTGTATTAAAGTTTTTCATTGTTTTCAGTTTTGGACCATTTCTCTGTTTAGACTCTACTGAAGTTACATTTATATATGTAATAATGTGATTTTGTCCTATTTATTTCAGTGTAAACAAAGAGGAGGAACCTGACAATGAGCAGAAGTGCCCAGAGAAGGAGGAAGAGAAGGAGGAGGAGGGGGAGAAGGAGGATCGCCATGATGACCCTGATATGGTGCTAATGAAGATTTTATTAATTTTTATAGTTTTTTTAATAAGATTTGGTTTAATGAAATGTTTTAAATGTCCTCTCAGGATGTAGCAGAAGTGAGTGATCATGATGAAGTGGAGGAAGAGGAGGAGATGGAGGAGGAGGAAAGCTCAGAGTCTGACTCTGAGTCTGATGAGAAAGGTACTGCACATATACTACCTCTGGTACACAGAACTACAAGAGTAGTACAAGAAAATACATATTTAAAAAAAAAAGTCCTGTACTCCTGGACTGGGACATCTCTCAGTCCCATCACGTTCTGAAATTATATTTGTAAAGTGTGAGGGAGGCTTCAGGGTCACTGGGACATTTTGCACGGTAGCAGTCTAAACAGAGAGACCCAGACTTCCCTCTCCCTAGGCCAGACATGTCAAACTCAGGCCCAGGGGCCAAATTTGGCCCACAATATAATTATATTTGGCCAACAAGATCATATCAAATATGTATTAGAGCTGGCCCTCCGGCTACAGATAGGCTATAGACTATTGTTATTATTTTATTTTATGCTTGTTCTGAATTCAGTGTTTAAGCAAAACTATTATGAAACATTTATTTTAATTAAAAAAAAGGTTTAACATTACATATCTCGAAAGAAGAGAAAACATGCATATGTTGTTGACATTTTTCAATAAATATTTAGTTTGGCCCACGACTTAGTCCCAGTTTTTGATTTTGGCCCTCAGTAAATTCGAGTTTGATACCCCTCCCTAGGCACGTCAAGGTGTTTCCAAAGAGATACCTAGTTCCTCCACCGAGTGTCTCTACTTGCTCCTCTTGGCATGGAGGAACAGAAGAAAAAACACAGGACCAGGACACTACTGAGAATATGAGCCTGACACACCTGACCTCCTCCTCTAGCTGTACTCTCTTTGACCTGAAGAGGGCGCCAGTCTATTTTATTTATCTAGATGTCACCAGATTGACAGCTACTCTTCCTGGGGTCCTATTCAGAAATACTAATGCATCACCATTTACAATATACAATGTATATCTGACATATGACATATATTCACTACTATTTTAGATGGAATTGTCTCTTTCTGTGTTTGTGTTTCAGAGCACTTCCAGGAGGACCTGGCCAACATCACGTGTGAAATCGCCATCAAACAGAAACTCATTGACGAGTTAGAAAACAGCCAGAGACGACTCCACACTCTGAAACTACAGTATGAGCAGAAACTACTACTACTGCAGTACAAGATACAAGAGACACAGCAGGAGAGGGACAAAGTACTGCACAACATGAGTAAGTACTGCTGCTGCCTCTACTACTACTACTACTACTACTGCTGCAGTACAAGATATGAAAGACACAGCAGGAGAGGGACAAAGTACTGCACAACGTGAGTGAGTACTGCTGCTGCCTCTACTACTACAACTACTACTTCTACTACTGCAGCACAGGTTACAGGAGACACAGCAGGACAGGGACAAAGTATTGAACATGAGTGAGCATCTGGGAAAGTGTTGTATAAGACTAATACATGATTATTGTGAACCCTGTGTTCTAGCTCCAGTGGACAGTGGCTCTGAGGACAGAGCCAAACGCGTCAAAGCCGAATATGAACGAAAACTGTCTGTGATGAACCGAGAACTCCAGAGACTGCAGGCAGCGCAGAGAGAGAGCACGCCAGGCTACTGAAGAACCAAAGCCAGTATGAGAGACAGCTAAAGACTCTGCAAGGGGAGGTGGCTGATATGAAGAGGACCAAGGTAAAGAGGGAGAGAGGGAGGAGAGACGAGAGGAGATGGAGGAGAGGGAGGAGTAGGAAAGAATGAAAGAAACAGAGAGCATGCTAGACTGCTAAAGACTGCAGGTAGAGGTGGCTGATATAAAGAGGAACAAGGTAAAGAGGTATAGAGGGAGGAGAGGAGAGGAGACAGGGAGGGAGAGGAAAGAAGGAGGGAGAGGAGTAGAGAGAAAGAGAGAGCAGCTTAGCAGAATATTGGGTATGACAATATGAAATAAGAGAACCTTTATTTCTCCCACAATGGGGAAACTTCAATATTGCAATGTACATTTGATGAACCACAAAAGAATTATGCAATAAAAATAAAGTTAAACAACTATTACAAATATGCTCGGGTCGTAGGTTATTGATACTTTGCAGTTGATGTCATCAACATTCTCTGGCGGTATGAGGTTAATTACGAGTTTTGGGCTCTGTTAGACTTTAGCGTGAGCTTTATTGTAATGCAATATGACCAGAAAGCTGTGACTTAGTTGGAGCTACAACAGGAGAGCTGAAATGTGCTCTTAAACAAGTCTCACACATAAAATTACAATCACAAGCTTTTTCAGTTACTTGCGTTTTGTTGAAGATAAAACACCTAAACAAAATACATGGTTTAAACCCATTTTGTATTTTTTCTGGAGTTTTTCAGACCATCTAAAAATGTGTTTACTAATGTGTACATTATGTCAACATGGTAACTGCTGAGCTTTCTGCTATACAGACATATAGAACACCCCCAGCATGACGTCACTGCAAAGTAGCAATATTTTGTAGATTCTCTGTACTGGTAGGTCACTCTGCACTGTTGGTAGGTTCTTGTGTCTCAGGTTTTATTGTCTCATAGGTTCGTCTGATGAAGCAGATGAAGGAGCAGCAGGAGAAAAACAGAATGAATGAATCTCGTCGAAACAGAGAGATTGCCACTTTAAAGAAGGATCAGAGAAAACAAGAGGTAAGAATACTACAAATACTACTGCTGCTACTACTACAACTACAAGAAATACCAGAGGTAACAGGAGGTATTGCTACTACAAATACTACTACAACTAGTAGTAGTACTACTGCAACTGTAAAAACAAGAGGACACTTGGGGGCAACAGTTGCTCAGTTGGTACAGCGCTTGCCTGAAAGTCTGTGAAAGTTGAATCCTGGTCTCAGATACTGTTGTTGTGTCAGTGTGCAAGACATTTCACCTGCCTCACCCCAGTGCCTGTGTCTACTGGTGTATGAATGTATGGTTCCAAAATGTTGTCCTTATATCTGTAGTATACAATCTTTGTGTTGCGTCTTAAAATCACATCTGTCCTAATGTATATGTTGTTTTATAGCACCAGCTGAAGTTACTGGAAGCTCAAAGACGCCAACAGGAGCTGATCCTGAGGAGGAAGACCGAGGAGGTGAGACTAAACCTGGACTAAACCCAAACTAAACCTGCATTAAACCTGGACTAAACCTGGACTAAGTCTGGACTTTACCTGCACTGAACCTGGACTAAACCAGGACAAAACCTGGAATAAACCTGGTCTTGACCTGAAAGACACCAGCACCTTGCTCTTCTGCAGGTGAGCGCCCTCCGCAGGCAGGTCAGACCCGCTTCTGGCAGAGTTCAGAGGAAAGTCCAGGACCAAGACTCAGGACTGAGATCTGGACCAGGGAGGACCTACTCCAGTGCCAATGGGACCAGGTCTGAGAAAACAATCCATTCTGCCGCTATATTTATTCAACCAGCACAACATCTGCAGATTAACTAGAGACATCTCAGTCTAACTCTACAGGGATAGGAGAGTGGGAGGGAATCTGACACACATCCCACTCTTTTCTCTCATGTTCTCATTTAGGAGCAGAGGCCTTGGGAGGGCATGTGACTCATAGCACAGGAGAACATCTGACTTTTTTCTTTCTCAGGTTCTCATATAGGAGCAGAGGGCTGTACAGCAGTAGAATGGCCCGGACCAAATGGCAGTCTCTGGAGAGGAGGATCTCAGACGTGATTCTGCAGAAGATGACCATCTCGAACATGGAATCGGACATGAATCGCCTGCTCAAGGTCAGAGCTGGTTTAGTACTGAGTTAGACCTGGTTTAGCCCTAGTTTAGTCCTGGTTCAAATCTGGTTTAATTTTGGTTTAAGAATGGTTTAGTCCTGGTTTAGAGCTGCTGTACCTGATTTAGTTCTGGTTTACTCCTGGGTGGCTTAGTCATAAATTAGACCTGGTTCATCCCTGATTTAGTTTTATCTTACTCCTAGATTAATCTTGGATAAGACCGCTGGGTTTTGACTTGGTTTAGTCCTGGTGTAGACCTGGTTTAGACATGGTTTAATCAATTTTTTCTCTTGTAGCAACGTGAGGAGTTGACTCGGAGGAAAGAGAAAGTTCTGAGACGCAAAGAACGTTTGCTCAAGGACTCAGGTCTGGTCCCTGGTCTGATCCCAGATCTGGACCCTAAGACACCAGACGTGGACCAGTCCCAAGACCAGGTTCAGTCCCAAGATCTGCAAAAGTCCCTGATTCCTCTAATGGAGGAGGTGGAGGCTTTGAGTGCAAACATCGACTACATCAACGACAGCATCTCCGACTGTCAAGCCAACATCATGCAGATGGAGGAGGCCAAGGTGAGATTGGGTTTGGACCTGGATTAGTCCTGGTTTAGTCCTTGTTTAGTCCTGATGTATTGCTTGTTTAGATTATCAGTTTAAATGTCTATGTATTTCTGTGTGTTTTCAGGAGGACACAGACAGAGTAGATGTCTCCGCTCTGATTGGCTCCTGTTCTTTACCTGAGGCTCGTTTCCTCCTTGACCACTTCATGAACATGGCTGTTAATAAGGTAAAAGTCCTGCACAAATCCTGTACCTGTCCTGTGCAAGTCCTGTACAAGACTTGAACGCATCATTAGACTGTGACACTACAGTGACAGTACATTTAGTTCTGTTTATTCCACTGTAGTTTGTGGCCCAAAATCTTTTCTTTCATATCACACTGACCCCCTCTCACCTCCTCTCCACATGATGCATTCAGGGTCTCCAAGCAGCCCAGAGAGAATCCCAGCTGAAGGAGGTGGAGGGCAGATTGAGGCAGACAGAACTGACTAGTGCCACACAGAACCAGCTCCTGTTCCACATGCTGAAGGAGAAGGCCCAACTCAACCCAGAACTGGAGGCTCTGCTCGGCTCTGCTTTGCATGGTGAGAGGCCTGGGTTAGTCCTGGTCTAGACCTGGTTTAGTCCTGGTTTAAATCTGGTTTAAATCTAGTTTAGTCTTGGTCTAGTGACCTACAGTATGCAACTTTCTGAAGTTGGCACATCACTTGCTTGACTCTATGGAACTAGGAATTTAAATCCATACTTTCCCCATGGAGATTTATGCCATACTGTGGAAAATTATAGCCAAAGGAACAAGCAGGAGACTTGCTTTTTACACAAGAAGAGTACGAGTCAGGTTTGTGGAGATGCAAGCCCGCTCAGAGTAAGGATGCATGTTTTTCAGTGCAATAAACACAACCAAAATGGAAAAAAAAACACACACACACACACACACACACACACATTCTTTTATTTTAGGCTTTTTTTTTTTTGACAAAAAGTTTTAGTTCCAGGTTTAGTCCTGGATTAGAACTGGGTTAGACCTGGTTTAACTGTATTTATTGCAGTCCTGGGTTAGACTTGAATTACTCTTGTTTTGTCCAAATTCAAACTTGTCCCTAAAATGGTCTGATCCCAGCATGCATGATGTGTTTACTGTCGTGCTGTGTTAAAGTCCTGTCTAAAGTGTCTGTATTTTTGAGTTCTTTTTTGTTCTTATTTTGTTGTCTTGATGTTTTACAGATTTAGGGCACAGCTCAAACCGTGAGTCATCCATATTTAGAACTCTGCTGTCTTTAAACGCCCTAAAAATGCCACTAAAACAATATAAACTGAAATAAACTACACAACGTCTATCAGACGGCATCTAAGGAAATACTAATTATAAACATTGTAAAGTCCCATTTTATCTAACCAACTTTAACACTGCCAGCTACTGTTTGTACAATGGCCTGGAAGTGCACAACAAATTTACATCTTTGCCAAAGCATTATTATCAAAAATAAAAAATAAAAAATCTAAGTTTTTTTTTTCACCAAAAGTTATAAACATTTTATAAAAGTTTAATTGATACACATTTTATAAAAGTTGAATAGACAAACATTTTATATAAATGTAATAGATTTTGGTCAAATGTTTTTAACAAAGATTTCACTTTGAGGCCACAGTCATTTTCAAATGCTGCTTCACTGTTTGTGCCCCTACAGCCTGAAACCAGCTTCTCATCTGTCTGTAAGATCCATAAACTGCCCTTCATCTTTGTCCCATGTGGCTCAGATAATCCAGAGACTGAATCTGGCACTACACTCTTCTCACTGAAGCAGGGTAAACTCAAACTGAAAGTGTAATGTTTACATTTGCTTTACAGAAAATGGAGACGACAGCAGCAGCGACGAGTCTCCACACAGTCCTTCAGCAGAGGGAAAGTAAGTCCCAGTTTAGACAAACTAATAAAATAATAACGTGATCATGGCTTGTGGCCTCATCGACTCATGATAGGAACATTAATAACAGACCATTCAGGTGGCTTTTTTCCCTGAGGTTGGTCCTGTTAGCATTAACACCAGGCTTGACAGACAGCGTTGCTGGGACCCGCTCCCTGCTAAACCAGAGGTGTTGAGGGGAAACCTTCAGGAGCCTCTCTCAGTATTTGCTCTTTGGCTGCATTGATACTCATAGTTGGAATTCCAAACATGGAACTTTGCTCCAAATTTACTGCTACAACTACTAAATTTGGTGAGCTTCATGTGATGCTATGGGTGATGTTACAATCTTTTAGTCCACTTTATACAGTTTATGTATAGTTTACTTTTAGATGTATTGATTTACATTTTTTGTTGACAGTCCATTAGCATCAGATCTGATGAAACTCTGTGGAGAAAACAGGAGCAGGAACAAGGTCAAGTCATTTAAATATATTTTACTTTTATTTTCAAGTTCTTCCTCATCACTACACAAATTTGAAACATTCTAATTTTGTGTTTCAGGCTAGGAGGCGAACCGCGACTCAGATGGAGCTGCTGTATGCAAACACAGACCCCTCCCCCGACTCAAATACTGCACTCCCATTGGCTGAGACACCAGAAGGAGGCGGGGACATGGATAACATTTACAATGTTGTGTCTCCTGGTTACTCCTCCAAAATCCCCACAATGTGAGTTCAGCTGCCTGCACTATAAAAAAAATACTGCCTCAGTCCTCAGTGCTTCAGCAGATGCAAACCATGTGCACTTCACTGGTATTCTCTATATACACAAATTTCATTATTGATACTTTGCTGTAACATTATGATGACGGTGTTATACATGTAACTCTCTGGTGCAGTGTCCATCAGTTCCCATGGAGACACAATGCACACATTAGCAAACACAAAAAAAATTTTTTAGATTGTCTAAAAACTCAAGAAATGCAAAATGAATTGATGAAACACGCATTTCCAGGAGCCTGTGACCACTACGAGCGTTCATGGTTCTGTTTAGGGTTTGATTTTCAGCAAAAAAGGTGAGAGTGACTGTTTGTTAATGCTAGCTGGCTTGTGAGTGCACACAAATCATCCCACCAGTAATTCCAACCATGTCAGCTCTTTCTCGTCAGATTGTGTCTAACTTGAGTATCTTACAGAGTAGTGCTTTCAGTTAGCTTCACACCTCTAGGGAATGTCGATGACATCAGCTGCACAGTATCAGTACAGGAAATAACAATGTGTGTCTCAGTGATGTGTTAGAAATATGTACCCAGAGTCTGCACTGGTATAACACATGTTTATACTAATGATACCAGAGAGCACAAGGACTGCATCTGCTAGTACTCAGAGATGAAGCTCTTTTTAACAAGTTCAAAACAATTTTAGCCATTTTTCAACAAAACATTTTAAGACGTATTCTCTGTATTACTTTTAATTTGTATAGTTTTCCATTTTGTTTCTTTGCTCACTGATGTGTGTTAAAGTGTTAAATCTCTGGGGAAGCGAACTCCAGAGCCATCTCCGTCACTTCGAAGGAAAAAAATTGAAACGCCCAAGTTCAAAGAGCTGAAACAGTAAGCGCTACCTGAGCCTGACAGACGAAGATCAGGGAAATCATCTAGCTGTGATTCAAACTAATGCTTTCATGTGTGCTGCCTGAGCCTAAAGACTAAAATCTGGGAAAATAATCACACATAATTACTAGATTGATTCTTAGGTGTTAGCTGTTGCCTGAGCCTGGAGACAAGAATCTAGGAATAATCAGGGAATGTAATTATTTTTTTTGTGTTGTGATGTGTGCTGCCTGAGATTAAATAATGAGATTACTGGCTGTAATTCTCACTAACGTGCTTTTACAGTGTGTGGTTTGAACCCTGTTGAACTCTGCATGTTGCTATTACTCGATCACTATGCTAGCCACTACTGTCCGAAGTTAGATCAAATCGAATGCTTCTTTACATACAAATGAATGAAGCCAATCCTCATATTAAAGTATATAAAATGTTTATTTCAAGGACAAATTAGAAACATTAAAATGATGTTGTAAAGCCTCCTATTGCAAAATGTTTAAAGAAGACATATTGTTCTTGCTTCTACAATATAGTTATAATCTATCACAATATATCAAATCACAATTTATATCTAAAACAACTTAATTAAGGAAACACGTCCACTAACTTCCATGTTAGAAAATTTCAGTGCCCAACAACAAAGTGCTGCATACTCTTGGCCTCTCTAACGGATAGCAGCACATCACAGTAGGGAGCAGCGTATTTGATTTCTTTTGTACTAAAATACTGAATCCTATGTGTATCACCGATTAAGAAAAGTAAAGTGGGCATGTACTGGTGACGGTAAAAGCAGGGGTTGGCAAGAGTTCGTCTTGAAAATAAGTAATTGCTCAAACATGCACAAATCACTCCAAATACAACTTTGAGTGGGTAAATGGTGATTGGAAAAAAACTAAAACATGGTTAAAAACTCTGAAAAGTAAAATTTGCTGAATAGGCCTGCAATAGGTATGCAACTGATCCCACTGCAAAATACAATTTAAAACAGTTACAATTTTGAGCAGCAAATCCAATATAATATTACAGGTTCATTATTTTTTTGTTTTAATAATGCCACCATTTAGTACTATGGTGAAAAGAATTTGCCCCAAGTTAATTTATACTGAGTTTTGAGTTTGTGTAGTTTGTGCACAGTTTTTATTTCATGTGGATAGGTCCAGTAATTATAGAGATATGAACCATAAACCACGTCAACAAATCTGCAATCTGACAGTTACACAGCAAATTCCACCGTAGAATTCTCAGTGTTAAACTATAGTCTCTCTCCTCTCAGTAGACAAGATGATTGACAGCTGAGTAAGCAAAAGTTGGATGTGACCACTGTGTCGTTTGTGATCGGTGTGTTTAGCGCAGACAGGAAATGACAAGTGAGCTAACAGGAAGTGACAGGTGACATAGAGGAGATGGGGGACATGTGGTGGACATCTTGGTTTGTCTCTAGTCTCTATAGGGTCACACTGTACAGGTTTACTGCACGATTCAAACTCAACTCATTTTATGAATACTGTCAGGTGAGGAGTGATTGACAGGTGAGGAGTGATTGACAGGTGCTCTTAGTTCATTTTCACTCCTTCTCATTCACACAGGTTTATTAGTGTTATTCAGATTAACACAAACAAAATACCACCTGTTCTAAGGCATCTGTTAATCACTGAATTTATCATTAAGTAATCAAGCTGCTAATCATTCACCACATTCATACATGAGTACATGTCAATATTCAGTGATCGCAGTGGAGATCGATCCAGCAACTGTCTATCTACTGTTACCTGAATTTATATAGTTTCAGGAGCAGTTTCTATTAGATGACTTGAAGATATAATTTCAGTATTTAAAGGGTTGTGTTTTGTTTCCTTCACACATGTTCAACACATAAATCCTGCATATTTAGGCTGAGTTCTTCTTTCAAACAGAAAACATTATGATGTCATGTGGTAATACAGGAAGTGCTCCATTGTATTTTTAAACTCCATTTTAAACACCTTCACTAGAATCACCTGGTTGATTTCAGCCTTGGAATTGCCCATCTCTAAAGGTAAAAAGTAGCTGTTAACCTGAAACTACCACTACATGACATCACAAAGTGGAACAGAGCATTTTGAGCTTTGGAGATTTAGACAGACTATTGATAAAGGTTAGCTCACACAAGTGTGAATGAAATCTATTCTTTTTTGTAATATTTTGTATTATATTCCAGGGGCGTCATAAGCTCTGTCTCTGTTGGTAAACGTCAGTCCAGTCTCCAGTGTGTGAGTATGGCAGAGGGACACAGTAAAGCCGTGCTCTCTGTCGACTGCACCAACGAGCTGCTCTTCACTGGATCCAAAGGTATAAACACAATTTCAGTCTGGGTTCAAATCATAGATTGTACTAGTATACATAAAAGGACATAACTAACCTGCTAGTGTGTAGTTGGAATTCCAGATATGAAACTCACCCCTATAACTTCTAGCCTTGATGAGCTTCACTATGTGTGACGTCACACCCCCTTAGTCCACTTCTTTACATGGTCTATGGTTTAAAATCTGCCCCAATAATTATGATATCTGATTCAGTTATGAATCCACAATTTATTCCATCATTCAACTAAATATACCATATAACTGCACTCCCTCTCCTCCCCTCTGCAGATCGCACATGTAAAGTGTGGAACCTGGTGACCGGGCAGGAGATCATGTCTCTGGGAGGGCATCTGAGCAGTGTGGGCTCGGTCCGGTTCAGCTCTGGTGTGGTCTTCACTGTGTCCAGCTCCTTTATCAAAGTCTGGGATATCAGGGACTCAGCAAAGTGCATCCGGACGCTCACGTGAGTCCTCCTCAGATCAGGGTTATACCAGGTTTAGATCTACTGTAGGTTAGTCCTGGGTTAGATCTGGGTTAGTAATGGGCGACCTCATGGTAGGGGTTTAAAAATGCACTGTGTAACTTTTCTGGTGGAGGGTCTGTCTCCATAGAGACAAGAAGGTGGCAGAAATATTTCATTAAACTTGTTTATCTCCATGGAGACAAGCACGCAAGATGTGGTCAGCAGGCTGTGACATATCAGATCTGTGGAGAAGTGATCCTGAATGAATCTTTTTCATATTTATTTCTGAGCAATAAAACCAATTGTAATTGAACATGGATCACATTATCTTTCCAGTCAGAGTGATAATGAATTGATGTGTCACTGCACAGGTCCACAGGTCAAGTCATGACCTCTGACCCCTGTGGTCCTGGTTCAACTCGGACTCTGTCCTCAGAGACTCAAATAAACCAGATCTGTGTGAACCCAAATGGGACCAGTCTGTACGCCGCGGCCGGGAACACAGTTCGGATCTGGGACCTCAGGAGGTGAGAGAAACTACTACTGCTACTACTGTTATTTCTACTACCACTACTGCTATTACTGCTACTGCTGCTGCTGCTACCACTACTACTACTGCAAATAGTACTACTGTCACTACTACTATGGATTCTGTTTGTGTGTCAGGTTCGTTTGCACAGGGAAGCTGTCAGGGCACCAGGGTCCAGTCATGTGTCTGACCGTGGACCAAACCGAGACCAATCAGGACCTGGTGGTGACCGGGTCAAAGGACCACTACGTCAAGGTAAAACCCGGTTCAGTCCTGGTTCAGTCCTAGTTCAGTCCTGGTTCAATTTTAGTTTCATGCTGGTTCAGCCCTGGGTCAGTTTGGTCTAGTCCTGGTTCTGTCCTGGTTCAGTCCTGATTTAATCTTAGTTTAGTCCTGTTTAGTCCTGGTTCATTTCTGGTCTCTCCACAGCTCTTTGAGGTGACTGCGTCCTCAGTGGGGTCTTTGAGTCCCTCTTTGACCTTTGACCCTCCCCATTATGATGGGATTGAGTCGGTCCTAGTCCAGGGAGACCGGGTCTACAGTGGGTCCAGAGACACTGGACTCAAACTGTGGCACCTGCCCAGTAAAGAGCTGCTGCAGGTGAGTCAGATGCCCTCCCGTCTTCCTGTATCCTTATGTGTCAGATGTCCTCCCATCCTCCTATAGACCTGTGTGTCAGATGCCCTCCCATTACTCCTGTAGCCCTGTGTGCTATCCTGGTTCAGTACTGTTTTAGTCCCAGTTCAGTCCCAGTTCAGTCCCATTTCATTCCTATTTAAATGTTGCTTTGGTCCTGCTTTGGTCCTGGTTTAGTACTGTTTTAGTCCTGGTTCAGTCCTGGTTTATTCCTGGTTTCTGTCTCTGCAGCAGGTACCCTCAGCCCACAGAGACTGGGTCAGTTCTCTGGCTTTAGTCCGGTCTGGTTTGGTCCGGTCCTCTCCGGTCTTGGTCAGCGGCTGCAGAGGAGGGATTCTCAAACTATGGAGCACGGACTCACTGAGTGCACTCGCAGAGGTCAGAGGTCATGACAGTCCAATCAACAGCATCTGTAGCAATGCCAGCCACCTGTTCACCGCCTCAGAGTGAGTCCAGGTCTAGACCTGTTTTAGTCCTGGTCTAGACCTTGTATTTTCCTGATTTAATCTTATTTTAGTCCTGGTTTTGTCCTGGTTTAGTCCTGGTTTGGTTCTAGTTTAGACCCTGGTTTAGACTATGGATACAACAGTACAGTTTTCCCACAGGTCACCAAAAGAATATATAATGTAATTTTTTCTGCTAATGTGTATAATATAATAACATTATGATATGAATGAAACAATCCACAGATTCTAAGACATCACTGTACAACTTCCCCAAGTCTATCAACATAAAATAAAAAGTGACTGAAAGATAAAATGTATCACTGTTAGAATATTTCTGCTGTAAGTCCCTATGGAGCTGTTTTCCTGCTGTGTCTGAGGAGGAGTCTGCAATAACTGTTTTTCTTTCAGACCAAAATAATTGACAACACAGAGCGCATGGAGGGACATGTGCATATCTTGACACATGTATCGAATTGTAACACCAGTATCAAATGTTTTGATTTTATATCGAATATCATTGCATCCGGAGTTTAGACCCAGGCTTAATCTTGGTTTTGTTCTGTTTTTGTCCTGGTTTTGTCCTAATAAAGTCCTGGTTTAGCCCTAGCTGAGTCCTGGTTTAGTTCTGGTTCAGTTCTGATTTATTTCTGGTTCGGTCCTAGTTTATTTCTGGTATCGTCCTGCTTTAGTCCTTTTTTCTCTTATATTCTTGCAGTGATCGCACAGTAAAGATTTGGAGGTACAGAGGAGAGCTGGAGGATTCTGTGGAGGACTGACCAAGGCCCTGACTGCATTGCAAGGATAGTGAATGCATCTTAAACGGAGGACCCTGAACGCACCGTGTCTGTCTCCTGCTTTAAACCATTTAAGAAAGTAAAACTTAAACAAAATGATTTTCTCTGGTTGAAATGAGAGAATAATCCCTGGTCCTGGTAAAAGAGAGAAAGTAGTTCCAGCTGGTCAAACGTTAGATTTAATCATGCTGTAAAACCTAATATTATGACTGAAGAACACCTTATCAGCCCGGTCATAATATTGGAATACCCAATAAACATGACATAGTAATTTAAATTAAAATAACAGGTATTCACACTTCAAACTTCGCCCCTGCAGCCAGGTGTTTCTAACCAGAAACGCCTAGCTGTAGTCAGGGCAGTCCTGCATGATGTCATGTAGGACTGGAAATTGCAAAAGCCACTGAAGGCGAACACTTAGATTTAGGCATTTTTGACCAAGAAGCTGCAAATGTAACTAGTTTGCACAAAGACTGACAAAAAAAAAAAATCCAGTAACATTACACTATATTCATATTCACATTCAAACATCATATACACAGTTTAGTACATGGGTATAGTTCCACTTTAAGGGCACTTTTACACTTTTCTTGGTTTGGTCCTGGTTTGTGACCAATTTTTCATGTTTCTGTTCTAGTCCTGGCTTAGTCCTGGTCTAGTCCAGATTTAGTTACCAAGTTAGTCAAATTTTAGTTCAGATTTTGTTGTGGTGTTTGTGCAAATGCAAACCCACCCTAAATCTGGATTTTGTTCTGATTTAGACCAGATTAGGTTCAGTCATGTCTCGATTCAAACCTGGTCTGACCCTGGTTCTTTTTGCAAAATGGGAGTTCATGATTTGAGTATCATAGTTGATCTGTATCATATTTGAGTTATACAAACAGACTAAGGGCACTTTCTTGGTCCTTCTGTCCTGTTTTTTTGCCCAGTTTCTTGGCGCAACTGATATGGCCCTGTTCTAGTCATGGTTTAATCCTGGTTTAGTTCTGGTCTAGTCATGCTTTAGTCCCAGTCAAGTACTTGTTTAGTCCTGGTTTAGTCCTAGATTAATATCAGGTTTAGTCCTGTTCTAACTGCTCTTATGAGGCTCCATCACTGCACTATTGCCTTGCCTTCATTAGTTTAATATCTTTTGTCTAAGACTGTTGATGTAACTCACTACAAATGTCACTAAATCTTTAATCAAAATTAGCACTTGAATCTTCCTTATATCGTACTTGAATTTTAGTCGCAGTCGGTTGGTAGCTGGACCTATCAGCCTGCATTTCACTTAAACGCGCTGTGCCTGATTTTTCCCCATGGATTTGATCTTAATGTGTCTTGTCCAGTACAAATACTGTATATTGTATAAGCAGCTCTTGAGCTCCAAATAAGTCCACAGTGTACTGTCTGCATCTAATTATAAAGCGTTTTATTGTCTGCAAATTAGGAAGTGCACTATTATCATGCTAGTTGTTGTTCACATTAATTAGGACGCTCTAAATGCCTAATTTAAGTGAAGAATAACACTGAACCACCGCCAACCATTTAAAATGAACTAGTTCTGTTTTTCACGTTTTCAAGACAGTAAACATTAGGTACAGCGCCTTTAATGTCCTTCTTTATAAAATACTACATGCATTAATCATAATCTTGTGACTGTTTTGACAAATCAAGCCTAACTTTGGCCTTCTTTTAGCTTCTTTAGCGACCAAAAACGTGTGGAAAATGTGTCTTAAATGTCTCACTGAACCTGTAGGTGGCGCTGTGCAATGAGTATGAATGGGTTTTCTTCATGAACTGAAAAGGAGGCACTATATATAAATACATTTATCCGATTTTGCTGTAAAGACTCTTTATGTAACTTTTCTAGTGGAGGGTCAGCCACAGTCTCCAGGAAATGTTATTGCTTTACTTGGAATATTCTACAGTATGGCAGTAAATGTATCTATCTCCATGGAAACAAGCAAGTGAATCCATCAGGTTAAGTTACAGGTCAGATCTGTGGAAAGACAAGACCATTCACAGTGACAATGCATGATTTTCAAAAGATTTTTGGCAGTAAAAACACACTGTATTAAATTAATACAAGATAGATACATTTAACACTGCAGACAAAGCAATAACATCTCCGTGGAGACAAGCAGGTAGCAAATACTTCAATTCTAGAAAAGTTACATAGTGAGCCTTTAAGATACCATGATATTATGATTGAGCTAAAATAATACTGGCATAAATTATATCACACGTCTATGCATGGTAACATCTACAATGAATTAAATAAATAAATGACATAAAGTCAAATTAGACATGTACCCACAGCTTCTCACATTCATACAGGCAAGGAAGTATCTTGCCCAAGGATACAATGTCAGTACAGCTTCTTGGCTAGTGAGCAAAATCTCAACCCACAAAACTATAATGATAGTACAGGGTTAGATCTTTTATAGATGATTTGTTATGCCAGTCCTGGTTCAGTTCATCTTTCATCTGGTTTATTCCTGGTTTCTTTATCCTGGATTAGTTCTTGTTCTGACCTGGTCCAGTCCTGGTTATTCCTAGTTCAGTCCTGGTTTAGTCCTAGTTTAGTCCTGGTTTAGTTTTGGTTTAGTCCTGGTTCAGTCTTATTTAATCCTGGTTCTGTCCTGGTTTAGCCCTGGTTTAGAATTTGGCTTTTTACAGATAATTATTAATATATACTTTTTTTTTTCTCTGTCCATAAAAAAACACATTCAAACTCATGTAACTGTGTGTTTGTAACTGCACCTCCCCTAACCCCGTTCCTGCGCTCTGATTGGCTGAGGCAGCTGTCAGTCACACGCTTTGACATCTCTGAATGGCTGGTTTGTTTAGGGCTAAAGTCACTGTAGCACTCTGCACTGTCTGTATAATTTATTTAATTTAAATTACTGTGATGTAATCAATATGAGACAAGCCATTTGAGACTGTTCTGCAGAGGACTGGACCCACACTAAGGATACTGGGAAATGTAGGCCTGTGTGTGTTTTTTTCTTATGTTCTAAATTGATTTAATGTTCAACAGCGGGGCTTTAACCTTGTTCTAATGTAATAGAAACACCCCTGGAGTTGTGTTTTGTTTCATTCACACATGTTTCAGTAATCCTGATTCCGTTCCATGTTGTGACATCATCAGGTGGTGATCCAGAAGTACTTCTCTGGATTTTTAAAGATTAACCCTGGAATATTTCTTGTATTTTAAAATTTAGCCCATCTAGTAAGTGACAATTATTCCTGTCTAAAAATTGAAGCCAAGAACGAAAAACAGCATTATAATGTCTCAACATGTGGTCTAGCTGTGCTCCAGTCCTGGTTGAGTCCTGGCTTGGTCCCAGTCTTGTCCTGGCCTAGTCCTGGTTAGTCCAGTCCTCTGCCTAGTGTCTGTGTAGTGAATGTTTTTGAATTGACTGTATTTAAATTTAAAGTGAATGAATGGGAGACCAGTTAGTCCTGGTTTAGTCCTGATTTAGTCCTGGTTTTAATCCGGACCTGGTCTAGTCCTGGTTTTATTCCGAATGTGATTTGTGCTGATTATGTTGGATGTATTTTTGGTGACTGTGAACTGTCTGAGGCCTGCTGACAATAAACTCTTATTTAAGCCACATTTTTTACATTTTTGTCTTTTTCAAATTATGATACATATTTTGGACTTTAAAAAAATACATTGCACTAAAGAAGAAGAAATGTTTGAGGTGAAGCTGTGAGGTGAGATGTGTCCAGGAAAGGGCAGTAGAGGGCTGCAAGAGACTAAAAAAAGTGCAAATTTAAAGGTTCACTATGTAACTTCTAAGTCTCATTGTGATTACCAAGTTTATTTCCATACTGTGAAATAACCAGGGCAAAACGGTACTATCTCCATGAGGACAAGCAATTGGCAGACACTCCATCAAGTTTACATTTCAGTTTTTAAACTTTTAAAATTGCTGTTACTTGTTTTGTTTTGAAATACTCTTACCAAGTCCATATGGAACACAAACAAATTCTAATTCTACATTCTCCTTTGAAACATGGGGCTTTGTCATTTCTATTGCAATTTCAGGTTTTTTTTTTATTTTAAAGGTGCACTGTGTAACTTTTCTGGTGGAAGGTCTGCAACCTGCTTGTCTCCATGAAGATGTTACAGTAATTCTTTGTTGTAATGTTCCACAGTATGACATTAAACCATCTTTCATTTGTTTATTCAATTACAAGTTTTTCTATCAATAAAACAAGACTGGGCCTGGTTAGTACTTGGATGGGAGACCGCTGGAAAAATCAAGTGCCACAGGGGGCGCCAGTCGCAAAACTGTTGTGTCCTTAGGCAAAGCACTTCACCCACATTGCCTAGTATGAAAGTGGAGTGTGTCAGTGATGGTGGTGGTGGTCAGAGGGACTGATAGCGCCGACTGGCATGACAGTGGTACTTCTGTCAGTCTGCCCCAGGGCAGCTGTGGCTACAATAGTAGTTTACCATCACCGAATGTGGAGTGACTGAATAATGCTCTGTAAAGCATCTTTGTGACAAAATGTCTGTGAAAAGAACTATATAAATAAAAAACTTACTAAAACATGCATTTGTACTGTGTGTGAGTGGGGTTGCCTCTCCACAGACCTGACCTGTAACTTGGGCTGGTTTTGTCAAGCCTCACCAGCAAGACGAATTCTCACGATTTTTATGAGTTCACAAACTCATGAGAATCTGTGTGATTGATTGTAGGTCACACACGAGATTGACCAATCACATGGCAGTACTTTGGGCGAAATCTAAACACCAAAAGTGTATTTTAGCAGAATAACTGACCATTTAGTTTGTGAAAAAACGTGCAGAGGGAAACGCTTTATGCATTTGAGGAGGGGAAGATGTCTGCGCTTTTCTCTCGACTGGATTTAACTAAAGTTTGATTTTTCATTGTTTCAGCTGTTGAAGACGCTGATCATTGGTTCCAAGACAGCCATCCCAAATGGATGTGTAAACCTCAGTTCAGAGGGCTCCACACAGTCTGGTGAGAGCCAGGTTAGGTTTTGGTGAAAAAATATAGTAAATATAAAATGTATCGACCTTGCCTATATACAATGGTAGCACATACAATGGTTGACACAAAGATATCTTTTAGTTTAATGCCATAGTGCGGAACAAACAACAATGCAGGGAGCAGACTCAGCAGCTTTTTGACAGTTTTACTCAGTATTCAGCTTGTTCATATCTTCAAGAAAAATCTGTATTATATTGTAAACAATAGGCCATGTTATCCTCCGGTTTAATAACTTCACTCATGTACCTCTCACGCCTCTCATTTTGTCCCAGTATCTGCTGAGTGGAGCCGCCCCCAGCGCTGCTTTGTCCCGCTCTAATGAAGACTGTGAAGTGGTCCCGCGGTGCGTTCACTGACCATGACACTTCGCTGATGTCCAAGAAATGTGACCACCACAGCACAAAGTTTAACCCCGTCAGCAAAGCGGCTTGTGGGCATAAGGCTGCAGATGAATCCAAAACTGCTCAAGACGGTTACTTCAGAATCAAATTACACAAGTACAAGTACATAGTTTCCTGTAAAACTACCCAGAGAAGTATTATTTCTTTTAAATGTTACTGCAGTTATGTACTTGAGTGCAGCTGAGTACAGACCTCTAGTAGGGAATGTCTACAGGAGTAGTGAACAGAGGGCCTGCTGCTGTTGTGCTGCAGTGCATGTGTTATAATAAAAGGGTAGGTTACAATTATCTCCCTCAATTGAGGAAACTTCAGAAAATAAATGGATTAAACCAACTCAGTTCAAAATACTGTAAATTCAAATTATTTTAACTCATGTTTGTATAACATTTACAGTGTGGTGCAGGATGGCAGCCATGCCCCTGTCGGTCTGCCCCAGGGCAGCTTTGGCGCCTGCCCATCAGTGTGACTCATACTGTTATTATATATTAGAATTATAATATATATAATATTATAGCCTGTTATATGATTGGATCATAGTATTTTATTGTTATAACAGTAATAACACAACACCAGGCACACTCACAGCAGGAGGGCCCTCAGAGCCAAGGAGCAGACTCTCATATGAACAAACAACAACTCATTATATTAAAATCAGTTTGTTTAGACCTGCTTTAATCCTGGTTCAGGTCTGACCTGCTTTTTAATACACACCGTGCAACTTTTCTGTGTTCCTGCTTGTCTCCATGGAGATGTGATTGCATTACCTGGAATGCTCCACAGTAAGATGTTTTAATCTGTCTCCATAGAGTCTAATATTTTACACTGCCTATCTTATTGTGGAGGCAGGTGGCACAATCAGGCTTAGTTTCAGGTGAGATCTGTGGTGAGGTGAGCCTGAACACAGTTCATGTAAGACTACTCCATTAATAGAACACCTGCAATTGAATAAATGCAAAGCAGATGGTTTAAAGCCAAAATAAATAATATCTCCATTGAAACAAGTGACAGATCGACCTACCATAAGAAAAGTTAGATAGTGCACCTTTAAGTTCTGATACTGTGCTTTGGACGTGATTTAGACATGGTTTCATATTGGCTTACCTGGTTTGGACCTGTCTAGTTTAGACCTGGTTTAGACATAATTTAGTCCTGGTTTAGATCTTGCTTAGACCTGGTTTAGTCCAGTTTTAATAAGTGTTCACTTCACTGTCTTCTTGCGGGGGAAGTCTCATCTATAAATAGCCTCCCGTGGTGCGTTCACGTTCCGCTGGAGCCCGCCCCTCTCGCCTCCCTCTCCCGCTCCTCCGCGCTCTTCTCCCCGTTGCTTCACTCCGCTCTGCCGCTCCTTAGGCTCCGCTCCTCCGTGCATCCTCTCCCGCCTGTGGAGCTCTGTGTGCCCGCTGTGCTCGTGTGCTCCCTCGGCTCCGGACCTCCAGAGCTCCAGTGGTTCCCCCGGGCCTCTGCGCTCTCTCCGCGCCTCCCCTTGCCTCTCCCCGGACTCGGAGGGCAGTGATGCCGCTCTCTGGGTGACTCCGCGGGACAGAACCATGGCGTGGATCGGGGACGCGGACCCCTTCACGGCCGCCATCCCCGCGACCAAAGTGGAGCTCAGCGTGTCGTGTCGGTGAGTGGACAACCCTGGTTTAATCCTGGTTTAGTCCTGGTGTAGACCTGATTTAGTCCTGGTTCGATCCTGGTTTGTGGTTCTGGTTTAGTTCTTGTTTAGTCCTGGTATGGTCTCAGTAAAGTCTTGTTTTTGTCCTCCTTGTGTAGTCCTGGTTTATTACTAGTTTGTGGTTCTGGTTTAGTTCTGGTTTAACTCTGGTTTAATCCTAGATCAGTTCTAGTTGAGTGATAGTTTGTAGTCCTGGTTCAGTCCTGGTTTACCCCTGGTTTACGCTTGATTTAGTCCATGTTTATTACTGGTTTAGTCCTGGTTTAGTCCTGGTTTAGTCCTGGCTTAGTCCTGGTTTCGTCCTGGTTTAGCCTGGGCTCAGTCCTGGGCTTTATCCTGGATCAGTGCTGGTTGAGTGATTGTTTTTTGTCCTGGTTCAATCCTGGTTCAGTCCTGGTTCAGTCCTGGTTCAGTCCTGGTTCAGTCCTGGTTCAGTCCTGGTGTGTGGTTCTGATTTAGTCCTGGTTTAGCCTTGGTTATTCATGTTTCTTACCTGGTTCTTGTTTAGTCCAGATTAAGACTCCTGGTGAAATTTTTAATTATAAATCGTATTATCACTTTTTGGAGGCTATTTCTTAGAAGACGGGCTCTTTGAGCATTATTTTTCAAGATCTTGTTTTTGGGTCCGGTATTTTTCAAGACATGATCTGTTTTAGTCCTGGCTCAGTCTTGGTTCAGTCCCGGTTTGGTCCTGATTCAGTCCTGGTTTAGACCTAGTTCCGTCCTGGTTCAGTGATGGTTTGTAGTCCTGGTTTTGGTTTTTGTTCAGTCCTGGTTCAGTCTTGGTTTGTGGTTCTGGGTCAGTCATGGTTCAGTCCTGGTGTAGACATGATTTAGATCTGGTTTAGTCCCAGTTTAGTCTTGGTTTAGTCTTATATAAATTCTTGGCTGTCTGTGTGATGATTTGGTAGGAGATGCTTTTGGCTCAAAGTGGTTTAAAATTCTACTCACTCTATTCACTTTCTCACAAATTATTGAGCTATAATTTAATCCTGGTTCTGTCCTGGTTTAGTCCTGGTTTAAACCTGATTTAGTCCGGTCCGGGTCTGCCATTTGTAAATTGTTTATTCCTTGTTTTGTCCTGGTCTGGTCTTTATAAATCCTGGTTTAGTGCTGCTTTAGTCCTGCTTTAGTCTTGGTCAAGTTCTTTGAAAGTCCTGTTTATATTTATGTGTTAGTTTATTATCAGGGACAGTATGCATTAATAAGCATTTCTGTAAATGCACCAGAATTAGCTTAAACACCTATTTTTTCACCTTCTGTTCATGGACAAATCTGTAAAAACCAAAGGCAATAGTACATATGATATATACAGACACCCAAAAATGACATTGTAACAAAAAAGCATTTTCGAAAACATAAGTGGTATTACATCTCTACAACTCCTAGAGAATTAAAAAGTACATTACTGAGAATGCTGGCTGGTTTGATTATTAAAAAGCCACGTTCTCAGGTGTATTTTAAATGTGCCGTATGTGCCGTGGTGATGATGTGGGCTGATAATCACAGGTACACTTCCACTCCTGTGCTGCTCTCACTGAAGGAGCCCTGCCTAAAGACACCTCTCCTGAGTGGGACAACACAGTCTCATTTGTCCGCCCCCCTGTCCTGGTTTAGTCCTGGTTCACATCTGATATAGGCTTGGGTGATTTGGTCTTGTCCTTTGTGAGTCCTGGTCTAGTCTTGTTTTAGTCCTGGTCATGGTTTAGTCCTGGTTTAGTTCCAGTGACAGTATTGATGAGAGGAGCTTTTACTCAGAGCATCAGTCGAACCCTGAGTCACATTCTTCCATTTCTAATCGACTTTACATTGATTTGATTACATCGATTACAAGGTTTTGATGCTTGCTGTATATTGCCACTGTGTCTTTAGGCAAGACACTTCACCCATTTCCTCATGTATGTGGTGTGTGTTTCTCTGTCCCAGGGCAGCTGTGGCTGTTTCTCTTCTGACTGTGGAGTGAATTAATAATGCAGCAAATGTAAAGCCTTGTGTAGAATGCATTATTAATAAATACCACACCTGATTAAGACACTACAGAGAGAGAGAGGGCTAAAGCAGGGCTAAAGCAGGTCTAAAGCAGGTCTAAAGCAGATCTAAAGCAGGTCTAAAGCAGGTCTAAAGCAGGTCTAAAGCAAGTCTAAACCAGGTCTAACCCAGGTCTAAAGCAGGTCTAAAGCAGGTCTAAACCAGGTCTAAACCAGGTCTAAACCAGGACTAGAGGGGGGAGAAATATGGAGAGGAGCGAGGGGATAAGAGGGAGTGAGAGAGGAGGAGAAATGAGGTGAGAGCGGAGGAGAGAGGGAGAGCAAGAGGAGAGAGAAAGATGGAGTGAGAGAGAAGAAGACACAGGAGAGGGGGAGAGTATTGGAGAAACATGGAGCTAGAGTAAGTGGATACAGCTCTGTTCTTTATGCAGCTCTCAGCATGTTGTGGGTGCAATTCCCACACCACACACTGTGACTTCGCCAAGGTTCTTCTGCATGCGCTCAGTTCAACCTGCTGCTCACATCCGTCTGCAGCACTTGACTACACACCTAGATGCACTGTCAAATGTGCCCTGGGGCAGACTGAGGGAGAAGTGGCTGCTATTCTTTACCTGTGGGTTCCAGATAATCTTTAACTCTAGACTTTAGAGCGGAAAGACAGATTTTATTGTCGGTGTATTGTCTCTATAATAGTGTGGTCACGATACAAAAATTTCAAACTCTTGTATCTGTGTAATCCCTCAGTAATCCAGGTAGGTTTCATAGTGGTCCATGGGCGTGGACTAGTCTATGTGCTCTTATACTTGTTCTGATACAGCTCAAGACCATTCTAAAACTACCCAGGAAATGTTCATTTCTGTCCCGTGAAAATTAGTTTTTTAGTAGCAATACCTGCTCAAATGTGTATTTGCGATGCTATTATTAGTATTGATTAGGGATGGGCATTCGATGAAATTTTCTTAATCGATCGTCGGAAGATTATCGATCGATTATCGATTAATCATTAACGTTTTTATATTAAAATGATCATCATTATTATTACTATCTGCACTACTAATGTGCATAAATAAATTCAACTTTACGACATATAAACCGTAACGACTCTAGAGCCACATCAATCCGTTTGACGTTATAATGTCTTTAATGCAGTTTTGCGCAAGTCTCACAGAAACGAATCTTAAAACCGCATCGCTAATTTGCATAAACTCAGCGAAGATAAAACTACAGCTCTTGTGTCGCTGATGCGGTCAATTTCTGTCGGATTAAAAGACATGATTCAGTGGAATACAGGTTAGTGTGACCAGATTTGCGTTTGTCAAAATCAGGACACCGTACAGGGAGTGGGAGGTGGGGACTCGTCATCGACATTGCGCGACTCTCACCTGGCAAAACTTTTTCCCACTGGACACCGAAACATATGTTCCTGCTTTGTACACTGTGCTCATGGACTCACACTTGTCCCGAACGCAACGGAAAGCCTGGAATTTCTTGTACAAATCATCCTTAAATACGCATTTGTGCTTCGGTACGCTGCAGACTGACCCACTGTTTGTGTTTGCTCGCTCCTTCTGAGTGCAGAGACACATGTACGGACCCCTGTTTGGTCACGCTACGCACAGCAAACTGCATTCGGTTTGTCGATTAAAATTAACGTAATCGATGAAATTCTTAATGATCAATTATCGATTAATCGATTAATCATGCCCATCCCTAGTATTGATTATATATCTGATTTCCAATACTTTTAACAATCTGTAGTAAACATGTCCTCTGCATTTGAACCGTCTTCAGTCTTTATAGGTTAAAGGAGCAGTGCAGACAGTGCCCAGAAACCCATCGTCAGGAGTACCTAACTAGTCCTAGTCTAGTCCTGATCTGGTCCCAGCCCTGTTGTAGTCCTTTTAGGTCCTGGTCTACTCCTGGCCCTGCTGAAATCCTGGTCTAGTCCTGCTGTAGTCCTAGTTTGGTTCTAGTTTGGTCCTGGTCTAGTTCCGGTCTTGTTGTAGTCTTAGTAAATCCTGGTCTTGGTCCTTGATGGTTTTAAATGAAACATGTAGAGAACCATGGGAGCGACACATCCTCTGGTCCTGGTTTAGTCCACGGGTTTAGTCCAAGACCCAATCTTCCTGTGTAAATCTGGTTTGGTCCTGGTTTGGTCCCTGTTAAGTCCCAGTCTTGATCGTTGATGTTTTAAATTAAACATGAAGAGAGGCGTGGGAGTGACACTTCAGGCTGAACCGAGGAGGAGCATCAATTTTACAACAGACAATCTTTAAGATGTTTGAGTGGAAAACGTTTTAAAGGATCATTTGAACTCATGTTTAAGACAGTTTATCACTTGAAAAAGAAAAATACAGACACAAGGTGGTACAGAGACTTGCACACTTCGTTTCATTTACTGTGTTTAAAGCAGACATATATTGGGCAAAATAGACTTTTCAGAGCTTTTAACTGTGTTATAGTTGTTTCTCCCGTTTACTCACTCAAAGTTGTATTTGGAGCAATTCAAGCACTTTTGAGCCGTCTTTAATCACTGATTTTCACTGCCATTTGTACACGCCCACTGCTCTGAACAGTAGTCAGTTTGGTACAAATGAAATCAAATATGCTGTTTGCTACTGCGATGTGCATCTATCCATAGCAGTAGTCCATAGTCTGACTGTATGCAGCGCTTTGTTGTGATGATGTCTACAGTGACGTTGGCTCCGATTGGGCACAGCAGTTTTCTAATGAGATAGTCAGCAGACTTGTTTCTTTTATTAAGTTATTTTAGATGAATATTGCCATTTAAAAGGTCTAAATTATAACATAATGGTCCACAGGTGTATAGCTACACACACAAGCACTATGTTAAATGAACCTAAGGCAGCTAATGCATTTTTTTCTGATGGATTCATAACTATTATCTGATTACTGTGGGAAAATGAATGAATAAATAACATTATGTAACATTTTTGGATCACTCAACCATAGTGTCATGTTAGTTCTGCCACAGTCGTTCTTTACAGTTGACCCTGGGTTGTATTTTTGACACATCTCATGTTACTAAAACAAGTGTACACTGCTGTTGTCCTATGCATAGACTGTATATGGGCAGAGCGAGCCCTCTAGCCGCCGTGTTCTAAATAGGAAGTGAGTATGGGCGAGAAGTGGTTCCTTCGAGCTCTGATTGCAATTGACTTCTATTGAAAAACTGTCGCTTGTCTCTCTTTAATGGTTGCTGTCAGGTCTCATGATCCTACCTTTAAAATGTTCATATTAACCCACTCTGGTGTTTTTCTATTTCACTATTTTCCCCCTAAATTAAAATATGAACATGAATAATCAATTATAAATAAAATGAAGAATGATATAGGCACAGAGCAGTGGTGTGTATTGGTGGGGGTGAAAATGGAAATTGACTGACAAATGTTGTCATAAAATAAGCTTTTAAAGATTCCTCAAACAAAACAACAAATTAACTATGGTTAGAAGCTCTAAAATGAAAATTTTGCAGAGCAGGTCTAATGTAAGTTTTATTTTCTTGTTTTTCAGGAATCTTCTGGACAGAGACACTTTCTCCAAATCTGATCCAAGTAAGTTTCAACTTTTACACTTTATTAGACAAGGACCAGAGAGCAGAGGTTAGGATTTAGTCATAAGTATAGCCGTAATACAGACTGAAAACTAATCCAAGAATCCCATGCATTTCAAAACATGTTTATAGAGGTCTAAACTACAAGGTTAGCAGCTTTTACATGGAATAGACTCCATGGGGACACGGGGAGGGCATCTGACACAGGACAAGATAAACTAAAGAACTACAGACATTTCTAATTGTGATCATTCAGACTGTGATTTGGAGTTGATTACAGGAAAGAGAGAGGGTGGGGAGAAGGAAAACAGGGATAAACAAGGAAAGAGAGGAGAGAGACAGAGAGAGGAGGAGGAGGAGTTCAGAAGAAAGATGAAAGACAAAAGCGGAGAGTGAGAGAGAGAGAGGGAAAGGCAAGAGGGAGAAAAAGATGAGAGGAAAGGAGAGACAAAAAATGATAGATATATAATAAAGAGGTAGACACAGAAAGGGAGATAAATTGAGAGATGCATAGACAGGATATATGAATGAGAGAGACAGATGAAGAGATGGATGAGTAGACAGAGAAATAGATAGATACACAGATAGAGGTATGGATAGAGATACAGATAAATAGAGAGATGGATGGTGATAGTGTGAGTTGTGTAGATAGATGGGTGGATGGATAGATACACAGATAGAGGGATAGATAAATAGAGAGATGGTGTGAGTTGTGTAGGAGGAGAGAGTCTTGTTGGTGATGCAGACCTCCTCTGACATATGCAAATGTCTGATTCACTCACATGTGCACGCTCCCTGCTCCTCGTGCACGCTCATCCACACGTTCGTGCTCCCTTTGTTTGTATATCTTTCTCTTCATGTGCACACCCCTCTGACCCTCATGCACACCAGATTTTGTTTTGCTGTGCTCTCACCCACGTGCACACTCCTGCTGGATGTGTGTGTGTGCTCCTTGTGTGCTCTCTTCCACACGGGCACGCTCCTGTTCAGTGTTTACAGTGTGGACCTAAACCAAAACAGACTCATTCATAATCTGCTCCTCTCTCTCTTTTCAAATATTTACAACAGAAATGTCAAAAACTCCTTAGCTTAGTCCTGGTTCAGTCCAGGTTTAGACCTTGTTTAGGGCTGGTTCAGTCCCTGGTTTAGTCCTGGTACAGATCTGATTCATTCCTGGTTTAGTCCTGGTTTAATCCTGGTTTAGTCCTGGTACAGATCTGATTCATTCCTGGTTTAGTCCTGGTTTAATCCTGGTTTAGTCCTGGTTCAGTCCTGTGGTGCGTTCAGGGCCCAGCTGGACTCTTTCATGTCTTGTGTGGCGTTCACTGACGCTCCACAAATAAACACTTTCATTTAAACATGAACCAGTGATCAAAGAGAGAACAGGAGGGGGCCTGGTTTAGTCCTAGTTTAAATCTGGATTAGGACCTGGTTTAGGACCTGGTTAAAACCTGGTTTATACCTGTCTTAGACCTGGTTTATATGCCGTAGAGTAGATACATAATTAGTAGACATGGCGTTGACTAACTTGAGTAGTCTGGGAAGATTATGAAAAACCAGACCCAGTCACATGTATTTGTGGCTGTATATATGTAATATGAATAATCCAGAGGATGTCTAACCTGGCTCTCACCAGATTTATGTATGTCACTCGGAAGTGAGTTTCTCTGGAGCAGCGGTCTCTGTAAGTGATTGAGAAAACCTTGACCGTCGTTATGAATACTAATTTTATTGGTGGAAGCGTCTCAACAGCGGAACAAGCAGAGAAATCTAACTTTACTTAAATCTAGCTGAGAGAAAAGCACAGACATTGTTCCCTCCACAAAAGCACAAATCACTTCCCTCTGCATGTTTGTTACAAACTATAGTGTGTATTTCTGTGTCAAGTACATCCGTCTGCGTCACCATGCTTGTTTTGGTTTGTTTAGAAGATGTTTTCGCCTTCATTGGTCATTGCTGCTGAACCTTACAGTGGGAGTCTTTCAAGATGGATTTTCATGGGTTTGAAAATTCACTAATGTCGCTAGAGTCCATCTTGCTGTGCAGGGTCATAGGGGGTCAGCTCGTTCCACATCGATCACATCTGGTGTAAAGTTAATGTTGAGTGCAAATGTGTTGGTGTTTCATTTTAGATCATAAATACAATGCAAAAGTGACATCTGAGCTAATGTCTAACCCATTTCAGTTAAGATTCCTGAAGTTGTGCTCTGGGAAACATCTGGCACTAAACCTTTTGCCTGTCATGAAATAAATATTGACTATGGTGATTAGTTTATTATGGGTTATCATCTATATTTTATTCAGAAATCACTCTCAGAATTGTGTTACTGTGAGTATCAGAGCTGCATCTTTGAGTGGCGTTTTACAGCAGCTCTCCTCTTTACACATATCTTTATATTTATATCTTTATTTATTTCCTACAGATTTAAACATGTTTAGATCAAACTGTAGGTGGAGTTCCATCTGGTCTTACTCATTTTCTCACCTCAAATTTGAATTACTTTAAACATTCATTCCTCCCCCCAAAACCAAGAATAAATCAGGACTGACCCAGATTTAAACCAGGACTAAAACAGGACTAAACCAGGACTAGAAGAGGTTTAATTTAGTTCTGGTTAAGTTCTTAGTCCGTAAGAAACTCATATTACTCCCAGGTTTAAGCAAGTTATGTCCTGGTTTCAATCCTGGTTTCAATCCTGGTTCAATCCTTGTTTATAGTCTGAATGTTTTGAAGCAGATTGAGTTTTAATGTTAATTTCCCTTCTTGTGTTTTCAGTCTGTGTGCTGTACACTCAGGGAATCGCTAACCGAGAGTGGAGAGAGGTGAGGAATTATTTTACACATAAAAATAATTATTCTAAAGTTAAATTTTAGTAAAATCTGGCAACCCAAATTGAGGACTTCATTTTGTTTGACTGCATAACTGACCTGAGAACCTAAACATAAACAAATTTTATATAATTTTAAATGTTTTTGAAATTAAAAAGAATTCTACATTACTACATCTAGCTTCTTTTCAATTTTTGACCAGTGCAATATATGTTTATGATGCACAGTAACAGAAACAAAGTCTAATTTTGTTATGCCAGTATATAGTCCAGGTTATTAATAGGAAATAATGCCTTTGATATAGTTAATTGCAAAAGAAAATTTAATTCTGTCAACTAGACAATAGTTTTAGAATGAAGATGTTCTGCTGCTCATCCAGGTGGCTTCTTCAGTTCTGGTCAGATTGCTGGTGGACACTGCCTTATATCTGCCTGAAAAGAGGAGCTGACTACAGTGAAGTGTGAACTGCCTCTGAGTCATATTGACATTATCGTTCAAGGCTCTAATGGGTGACCGCAAACCTCTGAGCATACATACGTCTGAGGATGGAGTTATAACTAGCTAATAAACTCCAAACAAACCAGTGTAGTTAGTTCATCTCCATATATAACACAGTGTCGCACCAGAAACCTGACCAGAACTTAAGAAGCTGCTTGGATGAGAAATGTCTTTTCTTTTGTCCAGTTGATTGAATTTTCTTTTGCTATGGAAACTACCTGGAGGACTGAGGGATTACACAGACATAGTTATAGTTTACCACCTGCAGTATGGCATCAATCGTCATGGAGACAGGAGACATCACTGGGCCAAATCTGTTTAATGCAATACTGTGGTAAATTCAGGGCAAAGCACTAACATCTCCATGGAGACAAGCGGAGAAGCAGACCCACCACGAGAAAAGTTACATAATGCACTTTTGTTTTGTGAAAGTTTGTCTTTCTTCACAGTTCGGTCGCACAGAGGTCATCGATAACACTCTGAACCCAGACTTTGTGCGGAAATTCATTCTGGATTATTTCTTCGAGGAGCGACAGAATCTGCGCTTCGATCTGTGAGTTTAGACTCTACCAAAGTTATGATTTTTCAAGTTACGATTTTTGTTCCTCCACTTGAGGCAAGGAGTGGAGGAGTTCAAGTATCTAAGGGTGACTCGGGGTTCACGAGTGAGGGGAGGATGAAGCGTGAAATTGACAGGCGGATCGGTGCAGCATCAGCAGTGATGCGGTCGCTGTATCAGACCGTTGAGGTGAAGAAGTAGCTGAGCCGAAAGGCAAAGCTCTTGATTTACCGGTCAGTCTATGGTCCTACCCTCACCTATGGTCATGAGCTCTGGGTAATGACCGAAATTACAAGATCGCAGATACAAGCGCTCGAAATTAATTTCCTCTGCAGGGTGGCTGGGTGCTCCCTTAGAGATAGGGTTAGGACCTCAGTCACACAGGAGGAGCTTGGAGTAGAGCCGCTGCTCCTCCACGTCACGAGGAGCCAGCTGAGGTGGCTTGGGCATCTGTTCCGGATGCCTCCTGGGCGCCTCCCTCGGGAGGTGTTCCAGGCATGTCCCACCGGGAGGAGGCCCCGGGGAAGACCGAGGACATGCTAGAGGGACTATATCTCTGGGCTGGCCTGGGAACACCTTGGGATCTCCCTGGAGGAGCTGGAGGAGCTGGAGGAAGTGTCCGGGGTGGAGGAAGTCTGAGAGTCCCTGCTTAGGCCCTGGATAAGTGGAAGAAAATGGATGGACTGATGATTTTTGTTTTGTTTGCTTTAATTTTTCCTGTGCATTTGGAATATTTCTACTCTCTCCCTTTCTCCTACTCTCTCTCTTCCTTCTCCCCTACTCTCTCTCTCCTCTCTCCTTTCTCCCCTGTTGTCTCTCTCCTCTCTCCTTCATCCCCTACTCTCTCTCTCCCCGTCTCCTTTTCTTTCTTTCCTATTACCTTTCTTTGCTCTTTTCTCCCCTACTTGCTCTCTTTCTCTCCACTCTTCTTTCTCCCTCTTTTTCTGTCAGCCTTCTACCTTCTTTTCTTTTCTTACCTTTCTCTCTCCCCCTCTCCTTCCTCTCTTTCTTCCCCCTTTCTGCCTCTTCTCTACTCTCTCTCTCTCTCTCATTTGAAATTTAAATGTAAAAAGTGAAAGCTCTTGTAAAATTCATGTGAAAACAGGTTTGAGTCCAGGACAGAAATAAAACAGAGCCAAAAAGACTCAGGACTATACTAGGATTAAACCCGAACTGAACCAAAACTGAACCAGGACTAAACCAGAACTAAATCAGGATTAAACCAGAACTAAACCAGGACTGAACCAGGACTGAACTAAGCCAGAACTGACTCAGAATTAGTCCTGGTCCTGGTTTAGGCATGGTTTAGTCCTGGTTCAGTCCCGATTCAGTCCTGGTTCAGTCCTGGTTAAGTCCCTGCTGTCTCTCATATATATTTACATGTTGTGATTCATTGTTGCAGATAATTCGATTTTTCCGAGCGTTCATTCTTTATGTTTTTGAGTCGTTGAAGCGAAAGAAATTCTGTATGTTTAATCTCCACAAACAAGATTCTGCTGCTCAGATGAGACGAAACACGAGAGGAACAGGGGGCACTTCAAATTACAAATCAAATCAAAATCAAAATCGTAATTTGTCTTGGTGCAATTATCACCAATGGTACAATTATTTAGGTATTAGAATGTCCTCTGCAAAGAACTAAATATCCTGTATTTTTTAATATTTTGTTGTACCTCTAGTTTAGACCTCTCCAAACATGTTCTGAAATGTCCCTGTGTTCAGATGCCCTCCCTATGTCTGCATGGGGTCTTATTCTGTGTAAAAGCTGCTAACTGTGTAGTTTAGACCTCTAAAAAGCACGTTCTGAAATGCCTCGGATTCTTGTATTAGTTTATCAGTTCATATTTCTCTCAGACGTGAATGTTCCTGGAGCTGTTTACAGTGTGCACTTTAAAGATCTATTGCAAATTTAATTGTAATCATGCAGCTCTAATTAGAACTAGAAAGAACTGATCAAGATGAAGAGAAGGCTCATAATTTAGATTGAGAAAATGGTTTGAGTTTATTAACGTGTTAGCAGCAGTAATTAAAAAACAAAATAGTCACCTATGAGTCTTATCTCATCTCACACCAAATTGTCCGGGTTTAGTCCTGATTCAGTCTTGGTTCAGTCCTGGTTCAGTCTTGATTCAGTCCTGGTTCAGTCCTGATTAAGAGCGGATTCAGTCCTGGTTCAGTCTCGGTTCAGTTCCGGTTCAGTTCTGGTTCAATCCTGATTCAGTCCTTGTTCAGTCCTGATTCAGTACTGTTTTAGTTCTGATTTAGTCCTGATTCAATCTTGCTTCAATCAGAATTTAGTGATGGTTCAATTCTGTCAATTAGTCTGGTGGAGTCTTGGTTCAGTCCTGGTTCAGTGCTGGTTTATTTCTGGTTCAGCCCTGGTTTAGTCCTGGTTTAGTCCTGGTTTAGTTCTGGTTTAGTCCTGGTTCAGTCCTGGTTTAGTCCTGATTCAGTCCTGATTCAGTCTTGTTTCAGGCTTGGTTCAGTCCTGATTTAGTCCTGATTCCGTCTTGGTTTAGTCCTGGTTTAGTCCCGGTTCAGTCCTGGTTTTGTTCTTATTCAGTCTTGGTTCAGTTTTGGTTTAGTCCAGGTTAAGTCTTGTTTCAGTCTTGTTTTTGTTCTGGTTCAGTCTTGGTTCAGTCTTGGGGTAGTCCAGGTTAAGTCTTGTTTCAGTCTCGTTTTTGTTCTGGTTCAGTCTTGGTTAAGTCTTAGTTTAGTCCTGGTTCAGTCTTGGTTTAGTCCAGATTAAGTCTTGGTTCAGTCTTTGTTTAGTCCTGGTTCAGTCTTGGTTTAGTCCAGATTAAGTCTTGGTTCAGTCTTTGTTTAGTCCTGGTTCAGTCTTGGTTTATTTCAGATTAAGTCTTGGTTCAGTCTTTGTTTAGTCCTGGTTCAGTATGCCCTTCCACTGTCACGCTGATTTTGACTTCCCTTCATCCCTGCTTGCAGTTTTAATTGTTCTGTTCTTTTCCAGGTATGATCTGGACTGTAAGAGCGACAATCTCTCCAAACATGTGAGTCCTGCATTTTACATCTGATTAAAATACGATATTTTTTTCATCATTATTTTGCATTGGAATAAAACTGAATCTAAATGGAGTGAGGTTTTGTCAGGTTTACAGCTGAGAGGAGTTTATCAGAGAGTGAAGGTGTTTTTACTGCAGGGGTATGAAGAGAGAAAAAAAGAAGATAAGAGAGAAGAAAAGAGAGAAAAGGAGCAGGGTGGGATGTAGGAGAGTGGGAAAGAAGTGTTTAAAAGAAGTAGATAAGAGGAGGAGGGGGAGAGAGAGAAAAGAAGATGAGGGGAGGCTGAGAAATGTGAAGTGGAGTAGAGGAGACTGGAGAGGAGGAGGTGATGGATGGCGAGAGAAAAGCGAGAGAGAGAGAGAGAGACATGCTATAGAGAGACTGATCCTAGCCTTAACCATAGTCACTACTTGCCTAACCTTAATCAATCCCTCACCTTAAAGAAGACATATTGTGCTTGTGTCTACAATAGTTATAATCCATGACAATCGGGATCAGCCGCGGATGTTATGATTTGGGCATTTTAAATTGCAGTACTCATATAAAATTACTTAATAAAAGAAACAAGTCCACTGGCTTTTGTGTTAGAAAACTGCGGTGCCCAATGGGAGCTGACGTCACTGTAAACATCAGCATAAGAGCGCCGCATGCTTTTGGCCTCCCTTATGGATAGCTGCAGATCACTCTAGCAAGTACTTTTTTTTTTTTTTTTTCATTTGTACAACGCAATGCTGCTGAATCCTACGCATATCACCAAAGAATATCTAACTGGAGAAGGAATTACAGAGCAGTGATGGTGAAAACGGGGGTTGATCTGCAATATGGCATCTTGGAAATGAAATGATTAAAGATTGCTCAAATACGCACAAATCACTCTGAATACATCTTCGGGTGAGTAAATGATGAGGGGGCACAACTATAACATGGTTAAAAGCTCAGAAATGTCCCTTTCCAGAATACGTCTGCTTTAACCTAAATCATAACCTTAAACTATTTAACCTAAATCTGAACTTTAAACAATGTTGTTGATCTAATAATAAAGGAATTGCATTATGGACCTGTTTTTTGTCCCCATAAAAGAGGCATTACATGTGCTTGTGTACAGTTTTAGTCCCCACACTGTCAGAAATACCTGCCCACACACAGGGCTTCATTACCTCTGGCTTGTATTATATTAATCACATGTTAGTGCTTCTATTGATTGTATTATAGTATGACCTCATCTCCCTCTCTCATCGGTTTGTCTCTTAGGACTTCCTGGGTCAGGCTTGTTGCACTCTGGGAGAGATCGTGGGCTCAGCGGGGAGTCGCCTAGAGAAACCGCTCACGTAAGAAACACCTACAACACCAGACCATGACAAGAGCACATGTAAACTGGAACACATACGTACATAAACAATCATGTAACAAACCAAACCAGTTGCCATACCAGCTCGTCAAAGCCTGATCCCCAAGCAAAGCAAAGCCGGGTCTGGTTAGTACTGGGATTGGAGCTCGCTGGGAAAATCAGGTGCTGTGATTGGTGGGGCCCCAATCACATCATTGTGTCCTTAGGCAAGGCATTTCGCCCACACTGCCTAATATGAAAGTGGTGTGTGCTGTGTGCTGAGGGTGCAGATAGGCAGCCTCGCTTCTGTCAGTCTGCCCCAGGGCAGCTGTGGCTACACCACTGAATATGGAGTGAATGAATAATGATCTGTAAAGCATCTTTGAGGGTCCAGAAAAGCACTGTATTAAACTGATGCATTATTATTAGTAGTAGTATTAAAACATCATCACGTAAGAAACACTCAGAACACCAGAACATGACAAGAACGCTCAAGATGGTGGTGGTGGGGGGACATGTCCAGTGCACCCATCTGTCCTCTTTTCCTTTGCGTCTGTGCATCTGTCCATCCTCTGTGTGTCTCTGATGGTGAAAGAGTGAACAGTAAAAGAGTGAGTTCAGGGACAGTGTCTCAGAAATGCTCAAGACCAGAAGAACATTTTTGACAGACAGGGTGTAATTTCACATTTTTACTTCCATGACATCAGCCTCTTTTCTCTCTCTCTCTGCCTGTTTCCCTCCTTCTTTGTCATTCTCTATCTCTCCTCCTCTATGTTTCCCTCCATCTCTCTCCTTCTCTTGTCCATTCTCAGTTTTCTTGCCTTACCCTCTCTTTCTCTCCCCTCCCCCCCCATGTTTTCCCTGTCTGTCTTTCACTCTCCCACTCTCTCTCTACCCTCTCTCTCCCTCTCCACCCCTCCTCCTCCTTCTCTCCCTCTCTCTGTCTCTTTCTCTAAAGTGTCTGTTTCAGTCTCTGTAACAGAGTCTCCACTACAGCCTCCAGCTCTGCTCCATCTGTGCCCCCCCCTCCTGCTCACACCCCCTTTCCGTCTCCCTCTCCCCCTCTCTCCTCCCCTCTTTCCTCTCTTCCTTTCCCTCTCTGCGTACATCCCGAGCATACATAGTCATATATGCTCAGTAGTTAAATGTGAAGTGATGGTGCGTCTCTTTCCTTTTCTACTCCTCTCCCTCTTTTCATTTCTTTCTTCCATTTTTTTCTCTTTCTCTCTCAAAGCATGTCATAGTTAGTTACATGAAGTATATATATGTGTAGTACAAGTCTATGTGTCCATATTGTGCATCACTCTCTCCTCCTCTCCCTCTCTCTCTTCACTCTCCTCTTCTTCCTCCTCTCATCTCTGTCTCTCTCAGAGCATATAATAGCAAAAAACAGAATATCAATATGTGTAGTATACGTGTCCTGTCTCCCGCACTCTCTCCCTTGCTCTTACCTCCCCTCTTTCTCTCCTCCTCCCCTCCTTCCTCTCCTCTTCTCATCTCTATCTCTCTCAGAGCATATTATGATTAGTTACATACATAACATATGTTTTATATACGTGTCCACATTGTGCATCTCTCCTCTCCTTTTTCCTCTCCTCCTCCTCCTCTCTTTTCCTCTCCACCTTCATCCCTCTTTCCTCTCCTCCTCCTCTCTTCTCCTCTCCACCTTCTTCCCTCTTTCCTCTCCTCCTCCTCCTCCTCTCATCTTTATCTCTCACAGAGCATATATAGAGTTACACACAGTACATATATGTGTATAAGTGTCCATATTGTGCAGTTAAAGTTCAGTGGCCCGTACCATCTCTTTAATGACTGAGCTCTGACTTTACACCACATTACAGCTACAACATGCTCCCCCGCTCTCCCCTCCTCCCCTCCTTTCTCATATCTCTCCCTCCCTCTCTCCTTTCACTTTCTCTCCTCTCCATCCCTCACCTCTCTCTTCCATCTATATGCCTCGCTTTCTCTCTCTATTATCCTCACATTCTCTTTCTATTTTTCAATCTCTCCCTCTCTCCTCTTTCCAGTCCCTCTTCTCTCTCTCTCTATCCCCCCTCCATTCCTCCTTCCTCTTCTTTTCTCTCCCTCTCGCTCTTCTCCTGTGTTTCTGGACTGAATACAGTTAGACACAGTTTGTGTCACTGCTCGGCTCCAGCTTTGTGTCCGTCTCCTCTCTTTCTCTCCCTCCTCTTTCCCATGGTCCTTTTTTCCCTCTCTCCCTCTCCTCTTCTGCTCTTCACTCTTTCTCTCTTTCCCATTTTCTCATCTTCTCTCTCTCATTCTCTCTTTTCTTCCAATCCCCATCCTTCTCACTTTTCATGTGTCTCTAGACTGAACACAGTTTCTCTCCTCTCACCCCCTCTCATTTTCTCCCCTTTTCTCTGCTTCCCTCTCTCCTCTACCCCGCTCCCTCCTCATCCTCTTTCCCTCTCCCACCCTCTTGTGTTTCTGTCCTCCCACTCTCGTCTTTGCTCCCTTCCTTTCGCCCTCTCTTCCTTCTCCTCCTCTCTTCCTCCACTCTGCTCTCGCTCTCTCTTTCTTTCTCCGTTTCCCCCTCTCCTTCCCTCTCCTTCCCTCTCCTCCCTCTCTCCTTGTGTGTCTGGTCTAAACACAGTTGTAGATTCTCAGATGAAGCAGATAGCATTATCCTTTGTTTCACTGCTCTGCCTCCCTACTCCTACTCCTCTGTATCCTCCCTCCCTCTCTTCTCCCTCCTCTCCTCCTCTTTCTCCCTTCTTTCTTTTCTCTTTCTTTTCCTCCTTCTCTCCTCTCTTCCTCTCTCTTTCTCTTATCTCTCCCTCCCTCCTCTGCATAGATGAAGTAGATAACATTACTCGCAGTGTCAGTAACTCAGGCTTTGTCCAACTACCGCTCCTCACTCTCTCCTCTCTTTCTCTTGTCTGAGATCATTGCCCTGTGGTTGTATTGTCCACACTCCTCTCGTTCTCTCTCCTCCTCTTCTTCTCTCTCTCTTTCTTTCTCTCTTCTCAGGTTGTAGTTGTATTGTCTAAGAATGTTCTTTTTTCACTGTGGTTGTGTTTCTTGCCCTGGAAAACACAGATATATATTTGTCCTCACTGTGACTGGACTCGCATCTCCACAAACCTGACTCTTATTTGGCATCCTTCTTGTTCCATGGAAATTTTCCTTTTGCTAAAATATTGCATGTATGGCGTAAAACATGTTTATCTCCATGGAGAATGTTCCGAAGTATGGGGTAAACTTTATTTTCACTTTCTGGACTTTCGTGCCACTTACTGTAACTTTAAATATACAGAAAGTAGAATTCTGAGTTTTCTGCGGTAACGTCACACTTTAAAGGTCCTATAATTACACAACATTGACTCTTGTGAGCTGTAGATCATGTTACCTCGATAAAAACATACCTGGAGTTGTGTTTTGTTTTATTAACGCATGTTTGAATTATTCTGTCTACATCTCCAAAGCTCAAAAAGCTCTGCTCTACCTTGTGATGTCATATAATTCTAGTTTTCAAGTTGACAGCTACCTTTTACATTTTATTCAGTAGAGATTCAAATCATCCACTTGATTCTAGTTAAGATGTATGGATCTTAAAAACCCAGTGGAGCACTTTCTGTATTACCACATGACATCACAAGGTGGAATAGAGTGAAGAACACACCCTACATACAGGATTGGTGTGTTAAGCATGTGTGAATGAAAGAAAACATAACTCCAGGTATGTTTTTGATGAGTAAACATTATAACAAAGATCAGAACCAGCATAATATGGGCCCTTTAATAATATGAGGCTTGAGTGTGAAAGAGTGAAGGAAGGACAGATGTTTTTAAACCCTGAGTTTTTGTTATTTAAAAAATTAATTTCCCTGTTTTCATGTTTTTCTGTTTGTGTTCCAGGGGGATCCCAGGGAGGAAGTGTGGAACTCTGATCGTCAGAGCAGAGGAGCTCAGCAACTGCAGGGTACAACTACTACACTATTCACTACTACCACTACTGCTACTACTACTACTATTACTACTGCTACTACTACTACTACTACTACTATTACTACTATTATTACTGCTACTACTAACCAACTATAAGGTTATATTAATACTAACTAATACTACTACTGACGTTTCTGTGCCTTGAGCCTCTCTTTTCCCACACTGTCTCATGCTCATATTCACACAAGAGACGTGCCTTGCTTGAGGACACATCAACAGTCTCATGTTTATAACTGTAATAGTCTTACAGTGTCTGGGTGCGATGCCTTCACTGTCTCACGTGAGCGTGGGCTTGTTTTGTTTCCACGGTAACACAGTTTAGGCTAAAAATAACAACAGTGGCTCAGGAAGACACCGACAACATACTGACATGCATGTACAAGCACACGCCAGGTACACACATACATGTACAAATATGCACATGCACATTTCCATGCACACGCCATGTTAGGATTGTCAAAAATATTGAAAATCAATACTAAAGGTAGTATCGAAACTAGATACTCATTTGATCAATATTAAAAATGTCATGTTCACAAGACATAAATTAATATTTCCTGAATAGTTTTATAATGATCTTGAGCTGTATCAAGCATAAGAGCACATTGACTAGTATACGCCCATGGACCACTATGGACACTAACTGGACCACTGAGGGATTACACAGTATATCACTCCATCAGAGCACAGTAAGGTGAGGAGCTTGGTGTAGAGCCGCTGCTCCCACCTAGAGCTCTGGTACTTCAGATCAATTTAGAGTAAAACACTGGAGCAGTTTTTAGATTTTTTAGATATTGAGCTCAGCACGGCTGTCTCCATGGAAACGGAAAATAAAAATGGCTCCCACATGTGACTGAGGAATAATATTTCTGCTCCTGTTTTAACTAGGTCCTCTTTCTCTCTTTTCTCTCCTCCTTCCTGCCCTCTCTCCATCCTCTCCCCCTCCTTTTTTATTTTCTCTTTCTGTCCTTTTCCTCAAATCCTCTCCTCACTCTGTCTCTTACTTCCCTCTTCTTCCTGTCTTCCTCTCTCTACCATACCATGTCTCTTCCCTCTCACCCTGCCTCCCTCTCCTCTATCTCTCTTCTCCTTTGTCCCCCCTCTTTTCCCCTCACCTTCCTCTTTCTTTATATACACCTCCCTCTCCTCTCCTCTCTCTACTCCTATTCTTCTGCTTTCTTTCCCCTCATTTCCCCAATCTTGTTCTCCACATTGTTGTTCTGTTTTCTGTTCCTCTCTTTTCTCCTCCTCCCTCACTTCTTTCCTTTCCTTTCTCTTCCCCACTCATTCTCCATCTTGCCTCTTTCCTCTGCCCTCCCCTCTCTCCTCCATCACTTTGTTTCTCCTTTCTTTCTCTCCTTACCTCTTTCTGCCCCCTCACATTCCCTCACTCTCTCTTCTCTCCCTTGCTCCCCTTCTCTCTTCTCTTCCTCTCTCTTCTAATTCTCTCCCTCCTCCTTCATCTCCCTCTCCTCTCTCCAGGAGTCAGTGATGCTGCAGTTCTGTGGGAATAAACTGGATAAAAAGGATTTCTTTGGGAAGTCAGATCCGTTCCTGGTGTTTTTCCGGAGCAACGAGGATGGATCGTAAGTTCACCCACACTTTAAACTCAGCTTTAACAAGGGAACAGGAGAAGGCCCTCCTGCAGGCCAGGCCAGGTTTGTGGAGATGCAAGGCTTCTCACAGTAAAGATGCAATTCACCTTCCTTATGAGAGGTCATAAATTCAAATCTCTTTTGATCTGTCCTGGTCCTGAACTCAGGCCGGACTCTGGGACCTCTGCCATAACAATTAATAATTCATTAATTCATACTTTTTTTTCCCTTCTTTTCAATGGCTAAAAGTCCTTAGGAAGACACTCCTGGCCTGGCCTTGCCAGAGAGATTCTCACAATTTTTGTGAGGTCCCTCACGAGATTGACCAATCACAGGACAGCACTTTGGTTTGTGCAGAAGCCTGTGCCAGACTAAAAAAAAAAAAACCTGGCAACACAGACAGACATACTTGAGTCTATTTAGCTCAAAAACAGACCATTTTAATTCATGAAAATTTGCAGAGGGAACATTTGTGCATTTTGTGGAGTGCTTTTGGTGCTTTTTGATTTTCCAGCTTGTTTCACTGTTATGACGCTTCCACCAGTCAGCGTGAAGTCTTTGTTTGAATGCTCCAAAATCAATCTGGCGAGAACCAGGTTAATTCTAACCAGGATCCTGACTCACATATGAGTTTGTGACTCTTGAGCTGGGAGGATTTGATATTCCATCACAGCTGAGACTCATCAGGAGAGAGAAAGAGAAACAGAGAGAGGACAGGGAAGAGGGGAGTGGATGAAAAGAGAGAGAGTGAGGGAAGGAGAAAAAGAGGAAGGAAAGAGGGAGAAATAGAGGGAAGGGGGAGGTCTTGACTATGCGTGTGTGTTTGTACATGTATTTTGTGTGTGTGTGTGTGTGTGTGTGTACACGTTGTGTGGCCGCAGCATGAGGAGCAGTGAAGCATTACAATACCACCTCAGGCTCATACACACTCAGAGCAGAGACACACAGACATAGGCTTTTATTCTGAAACAGAGACACTGAGAGGCTTTTATTGTGAAAAGCCCCCCAGGAAACAACACAAACTGGTTTAACAAAGCCTGGCTCATTCAAACTGAGCTCTGAATAATGAACTTGAGTTAAAGACAGAGCAGAGGCCACGAAAACATGCTAAAAACACACTAACAAAAACATGCTAACATGGGGCAAGAGAAGTTCAAATACTGCACCATCTCCGCAATCATTTAGCCTAAAACATATCTACAACCATGCAGAATGAAAGAATGCTTTCAAAGGCCTTGTACCTGTTTTTTTCCGTGTAATTGAGCTTTATGTGTTTTTCCCCAGTACAGATAGATATGTTGTTTAATCTTTTGAAGTCAGATTAAGTCAGTTGTGTACTGTCGGCATCTAATTGTAAAGCATTTTATTCTCAGATAATCAGAAAGTGTGAGTTAGCATGCTATTTGTTATTAGTTGCCAGCTGGAGAGTTGTGAAAAGTGCTTAGAAACTGAAGAAACCAAAACTGAACAGGTGAATAATTAGGATACTCTGAATGCATAAGGCAAGTGAGAAATAACTTTGCACTGCTGCCAACTTTTTAAAATATACTATTTCTGTTTTAAATGTTTTTAAGACTTTAACTTTCAGTCTTCTTGGAATCGTGTATGTTTTTTGCCACCAGACAGATATGTTGCTTTAATGGTAGCTTGGGTATACAGAGTAAAAAGTGAAAGTGATGAACTAATTGGTTTGAGATTTTATGGGCGAGGTAATAACTCTAATTCATAATCATTCTGAAACCCAAGGATTTGTCTACACAGGAGTATTGAATGGAATGTCCATATCAGTTGTATTTCCAATTTATTTATCTTGACAGAGAAGACAATTAACTTTTTTTTTTTTTTCATGTGGATAGATCCACAGTTCACTATAGACACTATAGACAGTGTATAATGCTTTATGTATTATGAGTTTAGTCCTATAATCTGTGTGTGTTTCCTCAGGTACACGATCTGCCATAAGACAGAGGTGGTGAAGAACACTCTGGACCCGGTGTGGCAGGCCTTTAAGATCCCAGTGCGAGCGCTTTGCAATGGGGACTATGACAGGTCAGAAATTGCATACAACTACACACAATCTTATCATTAACATGGGTGGGCCCAATTCAAGAATTACTCTGCAGATACAAGAACTATATAACACTGAGCCTCATTCATGAAGCACTCTCACCAATACATGTGTACTTAAGGCCTTCTTATGAACATTTGCTTACTTTAATAAGTTTATGACTTAAATATTCCCTCACTGTCTGTGTTCTTGTGAGTTTGGACTTTTGAAATTGCTGCTGAAGCTGTAAAACAGAGGTAATCTGTACATGCGCTCCACCTGGCTTCCTCTTTGACTCTCCCTCACGCTTCACATGTCAGAATGTCAAACCCCTATTGGCCATATATGGAAGTTCAGAGGGCAATTCTAACTAATTACATATTAATTTTTGTGTAAATAAAATGTATATAAGTGTCATGGTGTTCATATCTGGTGGTTGGTGAATTAGGTGCACATTTGGCTGCTTAAAAAACTCTCTGTAGATTTGGTGCAGAGTTCTCTCAGCATCTTCTTAAAATGGAAGATACATTTTTTTAAGAAAACATTAATGAATGTGCCCCATTATCATTATAGATGGCCCTTTGTAACAGGTAAGAGAATATGGGGCCTAAGTGTGGAGTGAATGAAGTGCACTGTAAAGAGCTGTATAAATCAAATGCATTATCATTACATCAACTACACACAATGTGCTAAGTGCCAGAGTGCTCTATCTGTTTCACTGATGGTGCAGTGTTTGTATTAATGTCAATGTTTTGTTTTGTTTCAGGAGCATCAAAGTGGAGGTGTACGACTGGGACAGAGACGGGGGGTGAGTCCAGACTAAATCAGGAAGTTCAGAATAAATCAGGACTGAACCAGAACTAAACTTATTTGTTTTTCTCCACAGACATGACTTTATTGGAGAGTTCAGCACCAGTTACAGAGAAATGTGTCGCAGCCAGTCACAGTTCCACGTTTACGAGGTTTGTGTCAAATGGGAGGGCGTCTGACACAAGAGCATCTGACACACAGGGAGGGCATCTGACACACAGGGAGGGCATCTGAGACACAGAGATCCAGTAGGGCCTGAGGGCATCTGACACACAGGGATGGCATTTGATACAATGGAAAGTAAATTTGTTTGTTTTTTCAAAGGTGCTGAACCCTAAAAAGAAAGGGAAGAAGAAAAAGAAATACCAGAACTCCGGAACGGTGAGTCAGCACATATTTACAAAGTGCTGAATCGTGTTTTTATTTTTTATTTACACAAAAGGAAAAGGAAAAGAACAGAGGAGTCTCAGTCTGCAGGGAGAAAGGGCAGAGAGGAGCAGAGGGTTCAGGGGAGGAGGAGGACAGGTTTAATTTGAGGAAATGTCGTTGAAAATGCCAAGGTCCAATCTGTTGTAGTGGTGGCACAGTGTGTCTGAGTGAATTTAATTTGGACAAAAATATGCAAAAATAAATAAATAATGATTCTAGATCAAAAGTTCAATTTCATCCCAATTCCTTTAAGAAGTAAAGTGACTGCTGGGTCTCAGATGACATCATAGCTTGCTATAGCCCAATAATATTTAATACAGATAGGAGCAGGTAGGATAGGAGTAGGATTTGTGTTGTAATACAGTGAATTCTTGGGCCTAGTCACTAATAGAATTGATTAAGTTCAACATTTGTGAAATTGCCTTTTGGATATTTCAAAGTATAGTGCAAAGTAATCAATAGAGAAATCTATGTCTTGCCCCAATCTGGAAGTATGGCCTCGTCACATTCTACAATCTGCAACCCACTAATTGATACTTTGCACACATTAGTAAACACAGTCAAAAAAAACATTTTAGATTGTCTAATAACTCAAGAAAAAATAGAAAATTGATTTAAACAACACATTTTGAGGAGTCTTATGATCAGTATGAGCATTCATGGTCCTATTTAGAAGTTTGATTTTCAACAAAAATGGTGAGAGTAACTAAAGGAAAAACAGTTGATTAATTAAGAGACTTGTCTGAGAGCACAGGTCATCTCCCCTGTTCTAGTCAGACAGAGCAGTGCCTACGTTAGCATCACACCCCCAGGGAATGTTTATGACATCAACTGCAAAGTATCAGTTGTTTCTTATGAGAATTCGCCTTTCACTGTGATTGGTCAACTTGATACTAAAGGCTGGTATGATTCTGTTTACATAAGTACAAGGCTGTGTGTGTTATTCTAAACATGCCAGCTGTCCAACTGTTTGGAGGCAAATACTGAAGTGGTGCAGTGGTTGTCCAGTTGTGGTGTTATATTCTGCAACATAAAATGTATTGACCCGTTAATGAAATCTTATAAAGAACTTCTTCTCAGTCTAACTTAGGCCTAAAGTGTGTGTGTTTCTGCTTTTAGGTGACGCTGTTGTCCTGTTTGGTGGATTCTGAGCTCTCGTTTCTGGATTACATCAGAGGAGGGTATGGGCTTCATGCTCTTGTTTACGTCTCAAACTCAATCCTCTGTTTGCAGTCTTAAACTCTATCCTCCTGTTCTGCTCTTTTTGACTGTATCCTCTGTTACATCTCAAACTCTGTGTCTGTTAGTTTAAAATCACTGTTTAATGTTTCTGTTTTTCTGTAGGACTCAGATCAACTTCACTGTGGCCATTGACTTCACCGCCTCCAATGGTCAGTACTACATAGGACTACTACACAAGTGCTACCATTGACTTGTGGTAGTAATATCACTTGTGAGTGGTTTTATAGAGTAGTACTTGAAAGCCTTGTTTTGAGGGATTTGAAGTAGACCCTGGGAGTAGTATCTCTCACATGGCTCTGACTCTCTATGGACCCTGGTACAGTTTAGATAAAGGAGGAGCTAAGCACAAGAGCGAGGCGAGCTTTGTCTTGCGATAAACTTAAATGTTGAGCCGACATGCTTATGTTAGCAAAAATGAAGCTAGCATACAAGAGCTACAGTTGTTTCCCATGTCATTACACCACAAACCTGAAATGAATACATGTTTTCTTTGTGAACTGCTGAGATCTGCCTTTATGATTAAAAGTATTATTCAGGTACAATATATAGATGTACAATATACTATTAGATTAAATTTATTTAGAAAACATGAGTTATGTTTGGATGACATAAGTGTCTCAAGGAGCAGAGCCCTGTCCCTGCCCATAGGGTGACCTGATGTCCCTATTTACCCGGGACAGTCCCAGTTTTGAGCCCTGTGTCACCTGTCCTAGATTTATTCAAAACCATTGATCTGTTCCTGTTTTATAAAAGAAATGTCCGAGGTGTCCCTATTTTTGACCAGTTTGATACCTGCTGTAAAGAGAGGCATAAATTCTAATTTGTTTAGGTAAAATACAAAACATCTGCTTAAAAATGACCAAAACACAGAAAAATGTGACTAGGCTCACATGTTAGGCATGAATGGTCTCTGCATAACAATTTTCCTTAATTACTCATTTGTTTCACAATTTTATTATTACCAACCACCAAAAAATTGGGGATGTCCCAGTTATTTTCTGGTCACCAGTCCCAGTTTTTTATTTTGGTCACCCTGCTTTCCCAAGAGTTCTGAGGTGACAAAGTCTGTGAAAATCCAGTTAAAACATGATTTAAGTAGTTGTAATAGCGTATAGCCTATCTGTAGCAGTTGCTATAATATATAATGCTATAATAGCTCTTATAGCAATAGTAGCAGCAGCGGCCACAGCAATAGTAGCAGTAGCAGTAGTAGTAGTACTAATAGTAGTAGTAGTAGTAGTTTTGTTGTTTGTTTCCTAGGTAATCCATCCCAGCCCACTTCTCTGCACTACATGAGTCCATACCAGTTGAACGATTACGCTTTGGCTCTGAAGGCTGTGGGGGAGATCATTCAGGATTACGACTCTGATAAACTGTTCCCTGCTCTGGGCTTTGGAGCTAAACTGCCCCCTGACGGACGGGTCTCCCACGAGTTCCCCCTGGTAAAGACATTTATATAATTTTATACTTTTATATTCAGTCATGTTGTTTCGTTAAAGATGGGGTATTATGTATAATTTACTTTTCTGAGCCTTCTACCATGTTTCCTTATCCTCACCCATGCTCCCACACGACTATTTTTCATAAATATACAAACCCATAATACAAAACTGTATATAACAACTTCACAAACCTGATGTGTAGTAGTAGTGTAGTAGTTTCATTAGCTGGGTGCATGTTGATTGTGTTGTGATAGTGCTTTGAAGGAGGAGTGACTTAACACAGAGAGTAAAGGGAGGGGAGAGTGTGAAAAACTAAATAGTGAATTAAATGTCATGTGTTCACAGTTAATACTCATACATAGAAGTGTAATATCCCCTCAAATCTCATAGTAATGAAAAGGCTTTATAAAGGGACAGTCTTGTTTCTCTTCAGTCCAAAATCACAAATCCACAAATGTCAAACGGTTGATTTCTGAGTCACTGAAGCAACACTCAGATTTGATGAGCTGAGACACGTTTTTATTCTCCTGGGAACAAACAATACTATATAACGCTGACAATATAACAGCAATCTGTAAAAAAGATTCATGTAAATGTATCTAAATGTATGATCCTGCATATTTTCTTAGTATGATTGTCAAAAGTATTAGATACTAATCAATACTAAAACTAGATACTTATTAAAACAGGTATCGATACTAAAAAAGTCACATTCACAGGACAGAAATGAACCTTTCCTGAGTAGCTTTAGAATGATCTGAAGCTGTATCAGAAGTATAAGCCCACATCGACAAGTATACAGATCATCCATGGACCACTATGGAATCTACCTGGACGAGATTACACAGATATAAAGCTATGTCACAAAATCGCATTCTGTTGAGAGAATTTATCATCATTGTAGTATCAGAGTCTGCATTTAGTATCAAATCTCTTCCTTACTATCAAAGTCGAGTTTGAAATTTTAGTATTGTGACAATACTAATTCTCAGCATATCTTCAAAACATGTATTTTTAAGATGAACCTGTGTGTAGACATCTTGCCCTTTTCATCCATCTTGATTTCTGGTCCTATTTAGATCCTACTGTGTTCATCTGGAGATGTTTTCTTGTATTTCCTGTGAGTTTGGTGCAGATGTGTTTTGGTGCAGATGTGAGCCTGGAGGCAAGTTGTGTCTGAGTTTAAGAATTAAACTTTAAACTTTTATTTGTTTCTGTTGATTCTTTGCTAAACTAGGACTCTGCAGCTGTGGACACAATAACTCCACTAAAAACATTTAGGCCATGAATAATTCAACTCACGACTGAAAACTTAACATCCAAGTTTAACTAAAAGGATCTTGACTCACAGGTTTTTGACATAGACTGTGTAATAGAAGTGGACTATAATGTGACGTCACCCTTAGTGTTTAGTTGCAATCAAATGAAGCTCAGTGACACTAGCAAGAAGCCTTGGTCTGCAAGGGTGCAAAAGGGCACATTGCAACGTCAGTTAAAAATGTTTGCACCCTCATTTCAGGCGCCTAAAATAATATCACTTAATGGAAGCATATTATATTTGCACTGCTTTGAAACTTGAAAGCACCTTTAGTCTTGTCTGTATCCGGGATTGGCTAGCAGTTATAGCTAATCTGCAGCCAGGGACCATATTTGGAAATCTGAGCATGAAACCAAAGACTCAATCAGGAAGGTACATGTACCTTCCCAGGTTGGTCTGTTGTTAATGTTCAAATCTTAATTTATGGACAAAATTGTGAAAAAGTAAAGTGTGAAAAAAACACTAGAATCATGTAGAGTGGAAGGTCAGCGCCAGTTACAGAGAGAGACGTGATGTTTTTTCAATAGAAATCGATTGCAACCAGAGCTTTAAGGAACTTGTAGTTTTCCCATGTGTTGTTCCTTCTGATTGACTGGTGGTGTGCTTTTCTTCTCTCTGATTGACTGATGGTCCCTCCTTCTCCTTTCTGATTGGCTGTTTCAGAATGGTAACCCTCAGAACCCGTACTGCAGTGGGATAGAAGGAGTTCTGGAGGCGTATTATCAAAGTCTGAAAACTGTGAGACTGTACGGACCTACACACTTCTCTCCTGTCATCAACCACGTGGCCAGGTACTACAAATACTACTACTACTACTACTACTACTACTACTACTACTACTACTACTACTACTACTACTACTACTACTACTACTACTACTACTACTACTACTACTACTACTACTACTGCTGCTGCTGCTGCTGCTCCTACAACTGCTACTGCTGCTGCTCCTACAACTGCTACTACGAATAGGTCCCCAATCACTCTGGTGTCCCTCATCTACCGCAACCATGCACAATATGCCAAACCCTCCAGGTAAGGTTGTCCTGATCAAGACTAGCTCAAGATCTGGAGATGGGTCCCACTGCTCCTGATCATAGACTGGTCCAGTGAAAGTGAAGTCAATCGAGGCTAGCAGTTAAAGCGTCTAATCTTGCTGCTAAGCATGAGTGGTAGCCACCATGCTACCTTTATCTTACTACTGCTAAGATTCCTTTTACCAATACTATGGATACTGCTCCTACTACTACTACTACTATTGCCAACGAAGATACTGTTTTTACTACTACATCTACACTGACACGTCCCGTACTATAACTCCTATTATTAACAGTCCCATTGTCTCCTGACGTGTGTGAAAACAGCTGATTCAGTCGAGTGGGAGGAGTGGAGTTTAGAGTGACATTTTGAAAATATAATTATTCCTCCTACGATTCATTCACTACACGATTTAACCATGTAAACAATTAATTTTATCAAAGAGTGGTTAGCCTGTATTCTCTTCTCAGTGAGGAGGTTGTGGGTTAAACTCCTGATCTCTCTAAGTGGAGTGTGCATGTCGTCTGTGTTGCTGTGGCAGAGTGGTTATCCTTTCTCCTCCTCCTCTCAGTGAGAAGGTTGTGGGTTAGACTCCTGGTCTCCTGAGTTGTAGTCGCCCCCTCACTCCCAGAATAAACTTTCTGCCATAGCAACCAGCCTCGTGCAGAAACATGCCACATACCACCTAATGTAAATCTAAGATGGAGGATAGAGAGGGCTGAAAATCAATGACATTTTTACCTGGTTTCAATTATTTTGGTGACAAGAGACAGTTTTCCCTATTGATAGACATTGTATTTTATCATGAAATATCCAAAAGGTAAATTCACATCTGTTGAATCTGATCATTTCTGTTAGTGACTAGAGCAAGGAACTCACTGTATTACAACATTAATCTGCATTTGAACAATATTCATTTTAGCTGCCCCCATCTGTATTAAATATGTTTGGACTATAGAATGTTGTGATGTCATTTGAAATCCAGCAATAACCTATATTTGTTGATATTAGTGTAAATATTGTTAAATCTATAAGAAGACTCACATATTTAAAGGTGCAGCTTGCTTTATTCAGTTACATGTGTTTTTATTGTTTAAAACGATACCTTGGAAAAGTATGTATTCTTGCTGTGAGTAGGTGCAAATCTCCACAGATCTAATCTGTAACCTGGCCTGGTGTTGGTACTTGCTTGTCTAAATGGAGATAGTTAAGGTTAAAAGCATACAGTGGAAGATTCTAACATCCCTCTTTCTGAGCCAAGACTAAACCAGGTTTATACCAGGACTAAACCTGGACCAAACCAATACTAAACCAGGACTAATCCAACGCTAAAACAGGACCAAATCAGGACTGATCCAGGACTAAACCATGTCTAAACCAGGACTAATCAAGATTGACCCAGGATTAAACAGGAATTAAAGCAAGACAAAATCAGGACTGAACCCTTGTTCTTCACCTGTCCTTGTCTCTGTTTCAGATATGCTTCTGCAGTGACCGATGGATCTCAGTACTTCATCCTCCTCATCCTCTCAGACGGAGTCATCACCGACATGGCCCAGACCAAAGAGAGCATTGTTAACGTGAGAACTAAAACAGGACTAAAGCAGAACTGAACCAGAACTGAGCCAGGACTAAACCATGACTTTATGGTCATATTTTACATAGTGCTTTCCCTCCCTTTAAGGCATTCAAAGCACTTTACATCAAGGAACCACTCACCCATGCACACACACTCATACACCAGTGTACACAGACACTGGGGGCAAGGTGGGTTAAATGTTTTGCCCAAGGACACAACAATAGCATTCATAAACTAAAACAGGACTAAACCAGACCTTAACCAGGACCAAACCAGGACTAATCTGTACTGACGGCCCCATGTGACGTTTGAGGAAATAATGCAGAAAAAAAACATTGAGTACAGGCAAACAACCTGACGTGCGATCACAAATTCACAGCCATCCTCTTTTTCCTCTACGAGAATCAGTGGCTCAGGTTAGCACTGGTTTTGTCATGTTTGGAGTTTCCAGTATAGCATTTCACACATGCAATTTTCCCACAACGTCATCTTTGTTTCATCCTCCAAGCCTTATTATACCTTCATGTAGGGATGAGCCAATATAGATTTTTTTTTGCCGTTATCGTATGTTATTTGTTACCAATACTGGTCTGCAAATGTATCTTAAATTAAAGGAGCAATCACAAATTCACTTTTGTAAAAAAATAATGGTAAATGGTCACATTTTTCTATAGCGCTTTTCCACCTTCAAGGCACTTTACAACAAGGAACCACTCACCCATTCACACACCAGTGTATGCAGACACTGTGGGTTAAGTGTCTTGCCCAAGGACACAACAGCAGCATTCATCTGTGGGAGCTGGAATCACACCGGCCAACCTGCGGGTCTGTGGATCTGACTGCTCAACCTATGATGTTTTTTATGTCAAGAGCTGGATTCAAACCGCCAACCTTGAGATTAGTGGGTGAATGCTCTACCAACTGAGCTACTGCCGCCCCAATAATCACAAAATGTATTTCTTGAATGTACAATAATTTCATAACACTCTTCTGATTCCATTTTGACTCATTGATCTGTTCAAAAAGGGCACACAGAGAAGGGGGCAGCACTATAAATATCGCCATTGAATATCGGTATCGAATTGTATCTATAACAGCTGATACCGATCCTGGAACTTATATATCACCCATCCCTACTTCCAATAACATCTAATAAAACTTACTGTCTAAGAAAATGAATAAAAATAAACTCATTACTTCTTCGGGCTCACACACTCTCCCTCGAGTCCATTTAAGTTTTTCATCTTCACCAGGTCCAAACCTCATTTAGTTCAATGGTCTCCCTCTGGCTTTCATGTAATAAGAGTCCTAATTAAACCTGGTTTAGACCTCGGACTTGCTCGCTCCAGGTTAAAGGCCAGTCTGGGACCTGTTAGTTGGTCAATAGAGGGCAATATTTAAATGTAATCACAAAGTCTATGGAGAGAGTTTAACTGAGCCTGAGCCATTATAAACTAATAACTCTGTCCAATTCAACTAAACAGAAATCATTTTATGTTATGTAAAAGAAAAAAGTCTCAAAAGGACTAAAGCAGTACTAAACGAGAACTGGACCAGAACTAAGTCAGAATTCAACCAGAATCGGGTAAAGACTAAAGCAGAACTGAACAGTTTGACCCAGGTCTTTACCAAGACTGAAGCAGGTCTGAACCAAGACTAAATCAGACTTACCTCACACTACTCTGCTGAACTCTACTATTGAACTTGGGACCTTGTAACCGTGAGGTGGGATGCTAACCACTCATCATATGTTTGCTTTGTGTTTCAGGCGGCATCTTTGCCCATGTCCATCATCATCGTTGGAGTGGGACCTGCCGAGTTTGACGGTAAATTTCAATATTTGTGTTTTTCCCTCTATCGATTTGTGACAGTTTAATCAGCAGGTTTTACATTCTGTGATCAACTATTAGGGGAGTCAAACCACACCAAGCACTCACTACCTTTGACTACCCTACTGTGAGCAATAGTAACGGTTTACTGTATGTGGCAGACACAAGTTAATACGTTAACACTCAAAATGCTCTGTTCCACCTTGTGATGTAATGTAGTGGTAGTTTTCAATCCACACATACAGAATATACCTTTTACCTTTTGTTCAGTAGAGATTGGCAATTCTTGGACTGAAATTATCCAAATGATTCTAGTGAAGGTGTATGGAGTTAAGGAGTATGGAGTACATGTGTGAATGAAACAAAACACTCTATTATAACAGATCAGAAAATAATGTAATGCAGTCACTTTAAACCCAAAATCTGACCTCTTCAAGAGTCAGATGGCTCTCTCTATTCCTCTTGATATCCATTTGCTGTTTGCCCATTAACCAACCAGACCCAGAATCCTGTATCTGTCCTGCTCAGATATGGTTGTTCCAGTTTATATGTTTATCTCTCTCTGTCCTGTCATTGCTCCATCCTCCCTTTTCTCATCCGTCCATCCAGAGCTTTGGGATCATATAACCCTGTGGAACATCAGATCTGTATGCACATCTGTCTCTCTCATTCTCTGTTAAAAGGATTGAGTTTTATCAGACTGAAAACGAGGGCGATAATTCACAATGTAAACCTACGAATCTGTGTCTGCTATAAACACATGGGACATGATGATCAGCTGAACAGACTTTTATCTTTTCACCATTTAACCAAAACTCTGCCTCTGGTGTCCTTCAGCTCCTCTGCATTTTTAGAGTCCATACAGCAGGCTCATTCAACTTGCGGCTTTGGGGCACGATTTGGCACACCAAACAAACTGATCTGACCTACAAACCAAACTTTCTTCACAGTGCATGCATATTTTTAGTACGCACTATATTACTGTAAATTAACAAAACAAATCTGAAAATGTACCTTCTGTTTTTCATCAAGAAACCTCAAAAAGTGCAGTGACAAGCAAGAAGAAGACTAACATCCAAAGGGTTTAGTCTTGGTTTAGTCCCGGTTTAGTCCTGCTTTAGTCTTGGGCTAGTCTTTGTTTAGTCCTGGACAGTTTGCTCAGACAATTTGCATCAAGTTTCCACCTATTCTCTATCCCCTCCCACTGTTCTGCTAATGCTGCCAATGCTGTTACTTCCTCAAAAACATACCTGGAATTGTCTTTGAGTAATCCTTTATCACTCTGTTTACATCTCCAAGGCTCAAAATGCAGCAGCTTCCTTTTACCTTTTGTTCAGTAGAAATTGGCAGTCTCAGGGCTGAAATGATCCAAATGATTCTAGTGAATGTATATGGAGGTTAAAACACATTGGAACACTTCCTGTATTACCACATGACATCACAAGGTGGAACTGAGTCTTTTCAGTTTGAGAAAAGAACACTGCAGAATATAAGAATTTGTATGTTAAAAATGTGTGAATGAACCAAAACACAACTCCAGGTCTGTTTGTGATGAGGAAAACAACTTTATAATAGATCAGAAAACAGCGTAATATGGGCCCCTTAAATAAATCCTGTGTTTGTTTTTCAGAGATGATAGAGTTGGATGGAGATGATGAGAGAATTTCGTCACAGGGGCGAGCTGCAGAGAGGGACATTGTTCAGGTGAATCTTTGACCTGTGACCTCTGCAGCCTGTTTTAAGATTCAGTAAAAACACTGAACCGCTGAAATGTGGTAAAATACAGTTTAGGGGTCAAACCTCAAGAGAGTTACTGATACATAATTTATTTGAGCAAGACTGGCAATTTCCCAAATGAATAATGGGACTGGAATCATTTTAAGCAGTGTTTAAACTAGCATACTAACAGCTCACTTCCTGGTTCTTGGATGACTAAAACACTTTCTAATAGATGCAGCGATCACACCTTGACTGTAAGAGACGCTTTTACACTGGGGCAAGACACAGTTTGCTTATATACATGGGAAAAAATCTGGTACACCTCCAGTATGTAATTTTCTGGAGGTGATTCTTATAGCCAAAGGGACAACATTTCCATGGAAACAAGCAGGAGAAGTCAGTTTTGTGGAGTTGCAAGCCAGGACACAGGTTTTCCAGTACAACCCAACCAAAATTCAAATACAAGCCTTTATTTTAGTTAAATTTTTGGGAAAAAGGCACACTGTGGCTGTAACCTTTTCTTCTCTGTTCTCAGTTCGTGCCGTTCCGAGACTACATGGATCGCCGCGGCAACCACATCCTCAGCATGGCCCGGCTCGCCAAGGAAGTCCTGGCCGAGATCCCAGACCAATTCCTGTCCTACATGAGAACCAGAGGGATTAAACCTGGTCCTCAGCCTCCCTCCTACCCGCCTCTGTCGCCCCTGTCATCCCTGTCACCACTGTCCCCCCTGTCCCCCTGCCCGCCTTCCTCTCTCCACTCCCTCCCGACCGGGCACTCCCTGACCCTCGGCAGACCTGGGCATCACCACAGTCTAGTCCACACGCTGCCCAGCTCCCACCCGCTCCCGCCCGGGCACCCCTTCATGGCACGCAGGGTCAGTCGGATTTGAACCAGCAACCTCCACTATGTTTGGAATGCTTTGGACCAGACAACCCAACCAATATGGGCTTAGCATTGCCTCTGCAGGTTTTGGGCACTGGTTGGAAGGAATGGTTATGGAAAATGTGGAGAATTTGGGAATGTTTAGTACCAACCACGGCCACTGCATCTGTCCGAAAGTCTCTCCATGTTTTGGACAGTTCTGGAACTTTGTGCTCGACCTGGTTCTCGGGAATTGGTTTAATGCCTGGAACTTTTTGGAGAAGTCATGGAAGCTCCTGGAATGACGCACTTTTTGGATGGTTTTCTGCATGATCCTTCTCACATTGAATATTTAACAATGAGAACTAAACCAGGACTGAACGAGGACTAAACCAAGAGGCGGTATCAGCACTTTTTTTTCTACTTCTACTACTACTACTGCTACTACTAAGGCGGCTACTTCTGCTGCTTCTACCATATGCACACAATTGATTTAACCAGGATTAAACCCAGACTGAAGCATAATTGAACAAGGGACTAGACAAAGACTAAACCAGGACTTAACCCGGACTTTGGTCGGTCTTCTTCCTGCTCTTCACTGCACTTTCTGAGGTTTCTTGATGAAAAACTAGAGCTACATTTTGGGATTCGTTTTGTGGATTTTTGAACAAAACTTTTTCAAGCATATGGACAAAAAACACAACAACACTTTTTTGTTCCACATCTCACACTTCCATCTGAAAACTCCTATCTTCACTCGGAGTTTGGGAATTCTTTTAAGGGATCATTTACGGTGCACCAATGTAATTAAAAGCATGGTACAAATAATGTTGTAAAAGTGTTAATGGTATGTTTAAAAAATCTGAAAGAGAATTCCCTGAACAAAATCAAGCAGGATATTAGTATGTTAACTCCTGTTTTCAACTATTTTAGAGGGGGGGTATTCTGCTAAATTGACATTTTGGAGCTTTCTACCATGATTATACTTTGTTCCCTCATGAAAAACATGCCTGAAGACCTTTTATATTTCATCCATGCATGTTTGAGTATTTTAGTAATCTCCTCGGTGCCATATTCTAACCCTTCTTACGGTTTGCAGTACAAGCCTGAACAAGGCTCTGCCCATAAGCCTACATTACTCATCACTGTACAGCCATTTTTCATAAATATTCAAAAATATGATACAAAACTGTACACAGCACCTTGTCAAACCTGATGCTTTGTGCAGTATTTTCATTAGTGGGATGCGCGCTGATTGTGCTATGATAGCTCTCTGAAGGGGGGAGTGACTTAAGGTGTTAATACCCAAGAAGTGTAATACCCCCTCTTTAACATTGCAGAAAGAGAAAATCAACTAAAATTCAAGATAAATACTTAAAGCTGCACTAACTTTTCCAGTGGGGTACATCATCTGCGTATGTCATTTCTGTGAGGGACCTCACCTCTCCACAGATCTGACCTGGAACTGCACTTGGTGGTTTAATGCCATACTGTGGAAGATTCCAGCCAAAGCATAAGCATCTCCATGGAGACAAGCAGGTGCAGATCTCAATCAGAAAAGTTGCATAGTGGGTCTTTACGATGGTTGTGTTTGTAACACCACCCCACCCACTACCCCGTTATGGCCATGTGGGGTCATCTCATGTTTACACTAAAGTACAAACGTGACGCAAAACTCCAGCCGCATAAAACCACTGGGTCTAAACTAGGTCTAAACTGAGTCTAATCCAGGTCTAAACCAAGTCTGAACCAGGGTCTCAAACAGAATCCAGGACAGGAGTAGCTGAACCTTCTCAATGATGATCCTCCAAAACAGCTGCTCTGACTAAATGTTAAGCAGGGCACATATTCTACGACTGTACATTTCAGTTTCTTATCGCACAAAAATCACAGAGAGCTGACATGCTCCTGTGGGCAGGGTTTGGAAAGTCTAGTGGTCTTTTCAGTCAGAGGACTTGTATCACAAAAACATTTAAAATCTGTACAGCAGTGGCTAAGTATATGGTTAGCACACATACTTCACAGCAAGAAGGTCCCTGGTTTGACTTACAGGCCTTTCTATATGTAGTTTGCATGTTCTCCTTGTGTCTGTGTGGGTTTCCTCTGGACACTCCGGTTTCCCCCATCAACCCAAAACATGCACAATAGGGCAAATCATTCAGCTAAGGCAGTCCTGACCAAGACCAACTCAAGATCACTGAAGGATGGGTCAAATGCAGAGGACCTGGCTCTGGTCATGTGACTCAGGTGGTTTTGTGCGTTTTGGACTCTTCCAAAATCGAGTCTCTACCTCTCACAGTTTACAGCGTCTTTATTTATATGTATTTGTACACAGAATACTGCAGTGCTTCAATCACCCACTGTGAATACAAGCACAATACTACCACTACTATTACTACTACTACTACTATTACTACTACTTCTACTACTACTACTACTACTACTACTGCTACTATTGCTACTGCTAGTACAACTACTACTACTATTATTACTACTACTATTGTTCCTAAAAAACACCTAGGTCTTATATTGAGGTCTGCAGCCAATCTTCTGTCACTTAAACTTGAGACAAAGAAATTGGACAGTTTTTCTGTTAAATTGGCATAGTTTATGTTCATTATAATTAACTTAATCACCATATGTATTTTTAATGAAAAGACAATTTATATAAAAAGTAATAATCAAAATGAACAAAAAAATACAAATCATTTCTATTGCCATATCACCTAAGTAAGTATTTTTGTACTACCATTACTAATACTACTATACTCTAACTGTAATACCCCTTGCAGTATTTGTTGTGTACTGCAGTATTTGTACCTGAAGCATGTCTGAGCCTGTCTTTGTTATTGATATTCCACCTTAAGAAGCCTGCAGTTTTTGGTATTTCACCTTAAACGTGTATGCGCTTCGGTCTCTGTAGCACCGCGTAGCATTTGACACATTTTCTATGTGGCAGGAAGGAGGCATCTAATATTTATTCAAACTGAGGACAGAGAGTGGACAATTTACAAAGATGGAGGACAGGTCAGAATTCTATGGTGGAATTTGCTGTTTAACTGTCAGATTGCAGCTTTATTGACTTGGTTTATGGTTAATATCTCTGTAATTACTTGGCCTATCCACATGAAACAAAAACTGGCACAAAGTTCAGCGTCTTCTCTGTGAGTATAAATAAAAGTAAAATGATTTGTTTACAACAGTTTCAGAAAATGGTGCCATTATTCAATGCTAAAGACATGATTGTTGTCAGCTGTCAGGACTTTAAGCCATAAGATTAATATGACAAGTTTGTGGAGCCAGTTTCAAACCAATCATAAGGTTCAACATTTGTGGATCATAAACATAGACTGTATATATAAATGGACAGAGCTAATGAGCAAGCCGCTGCATTCCAAATAGGAAGTGAGCATCGACTCCCATCAGCTTCAATTCACTTTCTATTGAGTAACATCGTCCCTCTCTCCCTAACTGTTGGTGTCAGGCTCATTGTTCTGAGAATGTTTGTATTAACGCGATCTACATGAGCTTGGTGTTTTTTCCCGCTATTTTGTCCCTAAATCAAGATATGAACATTAATAACAGCCCAATGAGGTGCCTTTTTTCCCTGAGGTCACCCCCAATAGTGTTAGCAACAGGTTTGATTGACAGCGTTACTTTCAACAGTCTCGGTTGCTTTTGATATTTGCAATCGAAATTCTGTTTAGCTGCTATAACTCCAAGCCTTGATGAGCTTCATTTGGCTGGAGCTGAACACTATGGGTGATGTCACACTCCCTTAGTCCACTTGTGTGTACAGTCTATGGGTTCAACATTTGTGTATCATGGAGTTTGGAAATGTCTTTCAAAAACAGTGAATCTCCAATGGACTCATATAGTGCAGGGTCAAATGTATTGCGTAATAAACTCAAGCTTTGTTAAGTCCAACACTTTAAACCACTTTCTGTCCTCCATTTTGTCCAGCCACTTGTAGCAACTTTTTCCGTTCTCTCTCTTTTTACTTTTTACCTTTTTACCCTTTTTACCCCTCTTATTTTCTTTCTATATATGCCTCTCTCTCTCTCCTCTTTCTCCTCTACTGTTTTCTCTTCACTTCCCCCTTTGGCTTCTCTGTCTTTCCCCTCTCCACTCCCTTTCTCTTCTCTCGCTCTCCTTTCACTTTCTCTCTCTCTTTTACTGTCTCCCTCTGTCTTTTTCTTCTCCTCTTTTCTTTCTAACACCCCTCTTTCTTTCTCCCCTCTTCTGCAACAGTCTCATTTTTTACCTCCTCTCTCTGCCTACCTTCTCTCTCTTTCACCCTTCACCCTGTTTTTTCTCTGTTCCTTATTCTTTCTACCTCTCTCTCTCTCTCTCTCCAACCCGCTCTTTTCTCTTTCATAGTTCTTCTCCCTTGCTACTCTCTGTCTTCCTCTCTCTCTTTCCCCTCTCTACCCCATTTCTGTTCTCTCTCTTTTTCTCTCCTATCCTTCCTCTCCTTCTCTCTCCTCCCTCTTCTTTTCTTTCTTTCATAGTTCTTCTCTCTCTTCCTTTTCTTCTCCTCTTCTTCTTCCCTTCTCTCTCTCCTCTCCCCCTCCTTTCTTACCCTCTGTACATATATTGTAGATATTGTGCAGGCGTATACATGACTTATTTATTTGTGCGCAGGGTTTTTCTTGGCGATGTTTTAAAAATGAGACACTTACATAACTCCAGCCTCGGACCAGTGCACACGCCGTTCACACAAATAAAGACATATTACGGGACATTAGCGTAAGTGGGAAAAACAGCCAAGAAAGCAACACTATACACGCCTCACTGAGCCCACGTCGACAATATGAAATTATTGTAAAAAAGTGTACAATTCTGCAGAAATTATGAATTCAGAATATTAATTGTAATTTCAAAAGTTTAATTTTAAATGTGTGTTTATTAGACCTTGTTTGTATAAAGTAGGACAATGGTTCTCAAAACCAAGAAAATATTTGGCTTTCTACATACCACCAGGTGTAAACCAGTTTTATAACAGGACTATTCCAGGTTTAATCTAGG